TGATTTTTAACTGTCTGGAAATTTATTACACTGCATGTTCCAACTCTTAAACTCTTGTTAGCCAATGTCACTAGTGATTTATGGTGCTTGGCTGGTATGGTAAAATTACTGAAGATTTAAATAGACAATCATTCTATGTTTAGTAAATCTTCAAATTTCAAAGCTATTTTGGAGAATGAGGTGGGTGCTCTTTATTGTTTATGACTTACCAGTTAGTGACAACAAGAAGAGAGAATGGATAAATCAAAAAGCCCTCTTGTAAATTAATGGATTTATTGTCTTGTTGCCTTCAGTTAATGATTTAAAGAAAAATCCAATAACTTCTGTAAGGCAAAAATGGATGTCTAAAGCACTTCAAAACAAAACTCCTATATTGCAAAGGTTGCTGTTAGAGCCTTCAACAGGAATGGTCCTTTACATGTAATTTGTTGGGCATCTTTTATGAATGGAATTGGGGTTTAGGAGGCCTTCACACACCAAGTTCCTGTGTTTACACTGTGAAACATTTACATGATAGCTCTTTTAACCACATACTTTGATTAAAGATACTTCTTTTTTCTTAGTGGCTACTTTATATTCCTCTTTTATAACAAAAGAGTCTGAGTCTTCTGTGATCATAGAATTCTGTGTCTGTCTTCACAAGGTAGGATGTTTAACCATTTCAGTAAATATTTCTGATTTTTCTGAAAAATATCAATGGAAAATACTTAATGAATAAAAAATTTAACAATTAGTTGGTTACTTTGTTTGCATACACATAGAAAATTATATTTTAAATGAGAGTGAGTTGTTATTTGATTTTCTAATTTGTACAGCTTTCAAGAACAAGCACATCTAAGAGTATTATTTAAGCTCTTAGGGAGCTGACACCAACAAAAAGCAAACATTTAACACAAAATTATATGAAGTATGGAGGATACATCCTATTCAGAGATTTTCATCGATATTTTATTGCATCATATAAAGGACTGGAAAAATATTATTTGATTACTGTCATTGCTCTGAAAAACAAATGTCTGTATGGACATACAGACAAATGTCTTTATGGGTAAAGAACAGTCCTTATAAAGTGCTTTCCTTCTTTCATCCTGGCCCTTGCTTTGCTTCAGTTCCTCTACTCACTGGAGAATGATTTCCTGAGGTTTCCCTGATTGAAGTGAATAAATTGTGAAACTATTTTATCTGAAGTATTTCAAACAAGACAAACAAAGAAGAGATGTTATGGCAGTCTATTCAAATTTTACATCTAGAATTTTATCAGTTTGAAGATGACTCTAATGGATGATCAATTTTTACCTTCCTTTCCATGCTGAAGCCATTTGAACATGCATTCATGCATACATTCATTCCTTTGCTGGGAATTGCATACACAGAACAATCAAAGGTTAATGTGCCAAATACTGCTAGTTTGGGTTTTATGTCATGGCACACATCCCAGTTGAAAAAGAGATGATTCTTGTCTTTAACATTAACTTTCTTTAAAGAAGATGTATTTTTCTGAAATCCTTTAGCCACCATTTTGACATTTTAAATAGATGGCGGGCTGTCTTTATAACATAACTGGAATAAAATGACAGCTTTCCACATAGCTACTTATAAGAAATCATCAATATTTGAGACCATTCCTGACTATTCATACAAAATATTCCAGGGTAAGTGTGGTTAAGATAACCTCTGCAGAGTGCACAAGGGAAATTGGGTTTCTCTGTAGGGAAAAAAATATATGAAGAACTTTGATACTATCATTGCAACTGGAAGGAACCTTCTGAGATAATCCACTCCCACTGCCCAAACTGGATTTGTTAAACCAGGTTGTCCAGCACCATGGAAATTCTACAACCTCTCTGGGCGACCTGTGTGTTTGGCCACCCTCATCTTCCCTCCTGTTATAATTTCAAATCATTGCAGCCTTAACTGAGTAAAACATCTGGAGCTATTAGGTAAAAGAAGGCAGATAAATAAGAGTAAAAAATCCTGCAAGTCTTCATAGAATGATTTGGGTTTGAAGGGATCCTAAAGATTATCTAAGTTACATCCCCCCTGCCATGGGCAGGGACACCAACTCTACTGCCTTGGTCCTTCCCTTGGAAAAAAAAGTGTGAGAAAAAAAGATAGAATTTACATCTTTATTGAGGTCAAAACAGCTTTTTCTTTTTTTTTTCTTTTGCCTTTTCTGAATGTTGCTGGAAATCCTTGCACTGGCAGTAATATACCAGATGTTGCCTATATTGCAGTGTGCCCACCACTGTATCTGATCTAGACAAAACTGATTACTGAAAAAAGTCTGTAGATAGAATGTTTGATGAAGAGTTCTATCCTATTGTTTTCAGCCTCGAAAGTTTCAAATCACCACGAGAAAGTATGTATTGCTTCCAGCATTTGCAATCTTTGGAAGTGTATCTCTTGCTGACAGAGTACTTCTCCTGCTGTATTTTTTATGCTTCAACTTTTTAATGTGGAGATTAACATTAAACATTCTGTCACTTCCATGTTGCTCAGGAGATAATGTTTTCCAATTTTGCTTTGAAGTCTGAAAAACATGTATTTGAGTTAGTCCGTTGGAAACCTCAAAGCAAAAAAGAAAACTTTATGTCGTGGTATCTTACTTACTAGCAGCACTTGTGTTTTTATTTTGGACCCTTCTCAAAAGAGTAACTGACGGGGCATTTCTCTATTCCTTTTCTAAAGGCAGAAAAAAGTAAAATTTACTGGACAAAATGGGAGTCTCAGGAGCCTGCTTTGTTAAAGTTGCTATCTTTCAAAAATTTGAAGTACAGATCTGGTATTTGTTTTCAGTATATGTATATATGCACATATATGTATATATATGCACTAATATATATATGTGTATATATATATGTATGTACATATATATATATATGCACGTGCACACACATACTTTCTTTAGATTACAGGTATATTCTGAGTGGCATGAGAGAGAGAGAGGTTCTCTTGGGCAAAAAGAAAAATCCCTACCCTTTCCAGTTCTCAATGCTGAAGTCTGCTCTTTATGACAGCTTTGTAACAGTGAAAGTTATAAAAAGTGATAGACCTGTACAGAGAGACCTATTCTGCTTAGCTTTTCAGGTCCAGAAAGAGCATGTAGTTATGATAATTCCCATTTTTCTGTACACAGGAGAAACTGATAGTACTCAGTAAATGCATGGATGTTCTAATCCTTAGGGTTGTCTTTGCAAAGCTTTCTTTCTCGTTACATGTGAAGCTTTGGACTATTCCTTTCTTCCTTGCTGCTGCAAATGCTCATCACCTCTTCCTACTTGTTTCCTATATTCACTGTGTTGCCTATATTTCCATATTGTTTATTAATAGTCATGTATAGAAGGAACATCAAGTTGTTCTATGCCATGAAGTATCAGCTTTGTGCAGATACAGTGACAATAGATGTATCTATATGTTAAAATATTTTCCTTGCATTAATATTAGGAACCCTGATAACACCCCAGTGCTAGTGTTTTTCACAAGGAAGTATTTCAGCTCATAGAAATGATTGTATTACTTGCCCTACAGTCCAGAGATAAAACAAATCATGTTTTCAGTCTTTTGATATATTTAGATGAATGAATTACACATGGAAGATAGATATGTTGCATGCTTGCAGAGGGCAGTGTGTGCCTGTTGGGACTTTTGTTCCTATATTTTCAGCAAATTCATCAAAAGTTAGGTTTATTTGGGGCTCAGGGAATAGAATCAAGGGTTTTTTTAATACCACAATTTAAGGTGGTATGCATTTTGTAATAATATGACATTGTGCCACAGAAACTGCACTAGAGGTGTGGTGCCATTCTTATTACTAATAATTGTGCAGTTTTGGCTCAAATTAAATATATGTAATGCTTTTAATTTAAATGACCGCCCATACACATGGATTATTTTGTTTCAATGTGTACTTTTTTAAAAGATGCTCCAGTCTAGTCTGGAGCTCTAGTCTGAGGACTAGACATGTCCAGAGAGGAGGAAAATTTTGATGGAAGACTTTTTAAGACACTTCTGAATGGGATAGAAGATTGTTCAGGCTTAATACTGATGATGTTTTCCTTTATTTATACGTTTTGAATTCAATCCAAAACCCACAAATAAGGAAGTCTGGGATAACACCATGAAGGAATTGGTGGGGGTTTGCCCTTTGCTTTAGCAAGTAAAAGATCAATTCCAGGTATCTGGTATAGAGCTTCTATTATGCTTCCACGAGCCACTTTTGTTTTTTCCAACCTAGTTATTGACTCTCTCTTACTCTCCATTAGGCGTTTCCCTTCCCACCCATACCTGTTTGGTAAGCACTGATTTCAGATGGTCCATTTCTTTTTGATTTCATCTCCTTGTAAACGTCTGTGACAGTGTAGCATCCAACAAGCATCGCTGTCTGATGGCTGCTCTATCACAGCTTCCTTCTTAGTGAACAGGCACTCACACAAGAGCATTGCTGGCACCCCACAGGGAGCTCCAGGGCTACCTCTGCCCTCAGAGATCATCCCATTCTCTTTGAGCATAGCTGAACTATATTAATAAGATGCCTTGGGAATCCTGTTTTTATAATTTTTGTGTGGATAAATACTGATTTATGTTCCAGAAATAGCTGCTTGAGAGCATACATAAGTATTGAATTTGCACTATCAGGATACACTGAAATTTATAATATACAGTGGTTTTTTAATATTATTGAACTATAAATATTTTTATGAAGTGAATATCTTAAGAGAAAACGCGGTTTTTTGAATCTGTTATAAATATGATAAACTGCTTCTCATCACATTTCCTAGAATATTCTTTTGCATTTGAAACTCCACAGGGATCCTCCTTACTTTTCTGCCTTACTTTAATTATATCAACCCAATTTTCTTGTGCATTGCACTGAGTCATGTCTTGCTACTTGGTAACCTTGCTGGATGATTATATTCCACTCTGATTCAAGAAGGTTCCTTTTCCTGTGATGGAGGGCCTGGACCCAATTGCCACATTGACGGATGATGCTACAATTGCAGCATGGAGTAAGGAGAGACTGCCTGGTGATAGGATGCCAACAGAAAATGCCACTTCTCTAAGAAACTGCGAGTGCTGACCTCTGATGATGGATCCCCAGCAACAGGGAATTAAATGGATAAAGAATACATGCGGAGCTGACCTTAAGTCATACGTCTAGGACAGAAAGGGTATGTGCGCGCTGAAGAATTGGTTTTCATGTTTACTGCCCTCAAGTTCCCCTAATTTTTGTAAGGGATTAGTGTTTGTTGGAATGCACTTACCTAAAGACTTGAAATATTGCAACACTCTGCTTATTTATCCATAGCATCATTTTCCATTTAAAAAGTTACTCAAAAGGAAACTTGCTATTTGCAAGTGTTGGGGAGGATATAAAGTGGAGGTTGGAAAGAAAGTGGAGGTTGAGGTGCACTTCTTTTGAAGGGTAAATTACTTTTTCAATCGTTAAGATGTAAGGCCGGATGATATGACCTTACTTATCCTGTACACTTTAGTCAGCAGAACACAGCATGTGCACCTCACAGAGGGAAAGATTCAACCCACTGTGCAGCATCCAAGGCAAAATATTACTGAATTATATGTAAGTTGATAGCACTAGCATGTAATTGATCTGTTCATATATTTTCTTATCTTTACTTAGATTTAGGGAGATAATGCTCCATTTCAAAGTTTATTGTACTAAATTCGAGATATAACACACAATTACACAACACAGTAAATGTTCATAGCAATGCCTGATTTTTTAAATACATCTTAATCATCTAACCCATCTGCTTTGGATGAGCTCTTTTCCCTCACCTGCCTTGATTTGTTTTTCATTCTTTTCCAACCCATACAAATAATTGTGATTTTTCCATTTATACCCTGTAATACCCTGCTATGTGAAGCTGTATTGTCTGCTTACTTATCCTTACATTTTTATCTACTCCTTTTTCCATGCCTCTGGAAACAGAATTCTCCCAAGCTATTCAGATTCTAACCCTTCAAGAAAGTATTTATTGTTTAGATGAGGATATACCAAAAGCTGTAACACAAAAACATAAAATGTAAAAATAATAACAAAAGATGAAATATATATGTGCTCCCCCCACATTTCTTTTTAAAATGCAATGACTAAAAACTGGTGATGAGTGGATATTAAAATGTTTATATCTGCATCTTATTAGATAGCAAAATTCTCAGTTTGCAAATTGAACTCAAAATACAGTACAGGCATGTGTGTTTCTCAAACTAAGGTGGAAATCTTTACTTTTTTTTTACTTCAAAAAAGGATTAAAACAAGGACGAGCAAATATTATAGTTTGGCTCAAAAGAAAAGAAAGTATTTAATTTTCTTGTTAGGCATCTGTAGCAAAAGGGAAAATATTGGAAATTACAGGTTAGATTTGGATTTAACAATATAGGGGTTTCCAGCTGTAAAATCAGCTTAAGAAAACTATGCCTCTGCTTTGCAGTGAATTGCCATAACTGCTTTTTGGGCCACCCCATGAAATAAATCAATGAACTGGTTTAAAAAGAAAAAATAAGAAACAAAACCAAAAACAAACAAACAAACAAAAACCCAAACCAAAACAAACGAGTAAAGCTACTGAGGAAAAACTAATATGGTAGAACCTAGGGCAGAAGGGCAGAAATGAGTAAACCAAAGATGGCTTACGTTGGTATTGCCAGTCTTCCATGCATCAAACCAGTCCAGTTGATCATGCTCACAAATCCATTGAGGCAGATGTCATGGTGGTGCTAATGTCTCCTCAGTTTTACCTAGAAACATAGGCTGTTAGCAACAAAACTCACATACCCCATTTCTCATGTGAGTGTTCCAAATACCCCAGTTCAGGGACTGTTCTGATCTCCCCCTCCCAATGAAAGGGATACAGCTCTGCCAGCCTTGTGAGCCCCACCCCAGAGGTTTGTAGGTGGGCATTCAAGTAGGAGATTCAAATTCAAAGCTGAGTTAGTTTGTTTTCTCTGGTCTGACATTGCAGCGGCAGGAGTGGTAGATGGTACAAGGGAGGGTAACCTTGTGTTCTGACCCTTTTGGAGTGTCTGTAATCTCATTTTTCATTCACATACCCCTTTTTTCCCCTCGATTTTTAAAAATTATTGTCAAACTCAGAAAATGTCAACAAAAATATTTCCTAAGATCTAATTTAGATACCTTTAGATACACATTTTCAGGATGATAATAGGAAAAATAAAGAAGCTTGTACTCGGTGCAAGAGAATTTCAGTCTGTAATGTCTTCCATCACTTTTCACAGAAACCTCCAATGTGATTTTTGAGTCTTCTATGCAGCTGTCAACCTAAATAATAATGTTGCTTTGTGGTTGCATGAGAGTACACTTGGTAACCTCATCAAATGTTTCATCTGATGAACTGAAATGCTATGCTATTGTTTATGTTCAAATATGAATTTATTTTTTTCTGAAAGACTCTTATAGTCTTGTTTGCAAACAACACATCAACAAGTTAGATTTTTTGTGTTGAAAAATGTGGTGTTTATTCTAATATAAAGTCAAAGATAATCCTGAAGCATTTCTGAATGGGTCTCAAATGCTACTCAGAGTCTTTAGAGTGCTTGCACAGTTTCAGATTGTCAAAAGAGAAAATACGTAAAAAAGGATAAATAAAAATAGTATCTAGTTATGGACAAATTGCCCAAGCTTTCTCTCCCTTCTTTCTCCCATACTTCATGCATTGGTGACTGCAGAGAAAATCTAGGTAGTACGAAACAGTTCAAATCTCCTTGCATACATGAAACTCCTGGAAGATGCACTCTTGCTCTGCACTGTGAGACCTTGAAGTGATCCCTCTTTGTTACATTTTTCTATAGTGGTATTTGAAATATTTCAGAGTAAGAGCATACAGGTTGCTTTATAATCCATGGTGAAGAAACTCTACCAAAAATTAGAATTATACTGATCAAAAAGAGAGATCAGAAATTCCACAGGCTAAAAGATTTTAAGGCAAGAGAGAGGGAATAGAAATAGAAATAAATTTAATTGAAAAGGACAAGGGTCACAGCAATATAGTTTTGCCTTAGCAAAGGTTTCCATGTAGCACAAGAGAGTTGTGCACATAGATACAAATGCAAATATATGAATCTATTAAAAATAGGTCCTTCTGCTGAATATTTTAGGCAGCATTACATGACCTAGCATTCTGTGCCTCACTGAAGATGCACAGGTCTCCTTTGTGGGATACTAGTAACATATATACCCCTTTATTACCAAATATGCAGAGTTTTCCTCATTCTGGATTCATTTCTGTCATTTGTTTGTTTTAGTAGTTGTGTCGGGTACTTTGAATTTTTTTTCCTAATAAAGAAAGACTAGAAAGATATTTGTGATAGATATGGTGCAGTCCAGCAGTTGAAGTTCATTAATAATTGGAATGTTGCAGAGTATGAAGTAATGAATACTAATTACTCCTTTCATGTCTGACAGCACCCCATGGACCAATACATCAGCCCAGACTTTAATTTGGTTCTAGTAATGGTTTCATCAATAGTACATTAATTCTGTGTTTGAAAAGATGTACAGTTGAACCTGACCCACACAGTAGATACCACTGTCATAAAATGGCCACATACTGACAACAACTGGATAATTGCAAATAATTAAATCCACTGAGCTTCAGACAATCCTAATTTTAAGTAAAATATATCTTATCATATTAATCGACAGAAAGCATAGCAAGGGAGATTTATCAACTTGTACTCCTTCCAAAGCACATTTACTAGCCTTCTTATTAGAGAACTTGCTGATCTGTGAAGCAGCTTCATGAAAGTACTTTTCCTCTTTCTTGTTTACCAAGATGGTTCTTATGTTGGACTCTTGGATATTCTGTAGCACCAGCTCCTGGTATTGTTTCTGAATGAAGCCTGCAAAAGAAATTCTCAGCCTTTAAGAACTTCACATGGATATAATTTATATTTTCCTCAAAACCACGTGACTGCAGGGTGAACTGCAGGTACTTGTTATCTCTGAAAAACAGACTTTATGCTTAAGCACCTTAGTATATATTTAAAAGCCTAACAAGTTAAAGGTATTCAAATTTGGATACATTTTTAATTTTAATTTTGGAGCTGCAAAGATGCTCCGTTGTTCTTACTGTGATGCCTATGGATTTTTTGGATTTTAAGCTTTTTGTAGATTTTAGAAGTAGTTGTGTAGTAAATGTAGATTTAATGTAGCTGTATAATCCCTTACACTTTAGCACAGTAGTTTCCACTTACCCAAACCCTTTTCCCCATTTCATATTGAACTTTCTAAATTCCTTTAGCTTGTTTAGACTTCCCTGAAGGTAGGCCTTCATTCTGTTGAAGAACATTTGCACCCTGACTTGAACAACAAGATACACCAACAGACAAAGCAACCTTCAAAACCCGGAACCTTGGACGGGCTCCAAGGACTGGACGTGCTGTGACAAAGAGGAAGATGAGGAAGGGGGAGTCTTAGAGGCCCCTGACTCAATTTCCAGAGGAGCATGCCAGGGGCAGAACTGGGGGGTGGATAGATCTGGGATTGGATGGACTGTGCCTTAAATTGTGGAGCTCCCCGGACGCATGGCGTGCACGTGCGTCTGTGCCCCCATGGTTTGAAGGCCTTCTGTTAAAACTGCTCTCTACCTTATCTCTGCTGGTGCCTGGTGAGTAATTTTTTGGCTCCCAAGCGATTCTTTAAGGCAACAATGCACTTTAGACTGTGGCCTTATGTTCAAAATGGCTTTAAAATGATAAGATTTTTGCTAAAATATTTCAGGATATTTGCTTTAAGAAGCAGGAAAAAAAATAAAATAATTTTAAAAAAAATCAGTTGTAATACATAGCTGTATATAAGCATGAAGGGCACAAGAAAAAAGTAAGTAAAATTTGGGTCCAAAGTGTTAGCAATGTATGCAGCAATGATTCAAAATGCAAATACTGAGATTTTTGAAGCAGATAAGTTAAGGCATAAAAGTAATCAGGTACCAATTCTACAATGGTGTATGATTTTGGCCCTCGCCTCCTATAAGAGGAATGATGCCATTAAATTGGTTTGGTCTGGATGGCCTTTATTATTTGAATTTTACCTATGTGTTTCCTATCCTGTCTCTGCAGCACCGCTGTTTTGGAGATCACTGAATATGAGTATTAATTATAATAGATCAATGTCATTTTGACTCATAGGAGAGAAGACAGAGGAATAAATTTATTGTTCATAAGGCTCCTTTTTGCTGTAGCATGAGCTGTTACACCTGCTCAGATCCTTTGCACAGTCACAAAGAGGTAGTCATGTCTTCTCAGTTGCAAGATTAGGTTATTACAAAATTCTTTAAGATGTCTTGAAATTTGATTTATGTGCAAATGTAGCTTGTATGAACAAGTTTCCCTTCTTATGTGGCATGACTATTATTCATGAAACAGCAAGACAATTCACTCGCTTTCTCCACAGGGAGAAGCTTTCCTTGCCTTGAACGTCTCACCGACTGTGCAACTTCAAGGCAGTGCTTTTCCCACTGAACTAGTTTGACCAACTTGCACAGTTTGCCTGCTGAGATTGCCTTTTAATTTTAAGCAGCAGGAATTTTAAGCAGCAGGAACTGAAAGAAGGCTCCTTCAGAAAATGCGTTTATGCCTCTTTCTTCCCACTGAAAAATATTGTTTCCCTTTCCTTTGCTGTCCAAGAATTTACCACTTCTTTTTATTCTTACTGAGCTGATCCAAAACATCTTGCTGAAGGAAGCTATGCCACCATTCTGCCATTTACAGTCATGGCTTGTTTTGGAGAACATCTGCCCTGGAAGGTACTCTCAAGCTGTTTCAAGATATGAAGTAAGGTTCTTATACTCAAAATTTTTTTACCTTCATGAAAGAGGATCCTCTCTTTGAAAGACCTAGGCATTTTTACCTTAGGCAGGACATGCAGAAGGGAATAGCATGTCTTTGTGTCAATAAATCAAATTTTGACAGATCACAACAAATGTGGCACTATTCCTAGTCTTCTTATAGCTGAGAATTTAGTACTCATGTTACATTCTGGAATTTATTTGGCTTTATATTTGCTTTTGCTAAAAACAATTTATTCCTCAAGGTGTATACAGAATTTTTAAAGTGCTTTGTGAATCCCTTTTGAATCCCTAATCTACTTTATTTCAAAATCTACAAGAAAAAAATAATGGAGAGCAATCTCTCTTTAATTTACTTTGTATGTTCTTAAATAAGAGGGAGATTGAACTCGTGAAAGATTCTCTGTCTATTCTGGGGTAGAGTGGTACATTAATTCCATCCATTCTATCCGCCTTTGCTGATGGAATAGGAGATTATGAAGAAAACATTGCCTAAAGTAGAATTTGTTTTTAGAAATTTCTTTGGTGACCATCTTTTAATATTCCTTCTATCATGGATTTCCACTATTAGTGCCTATATTGCTACATTTCTTCATAATCCAAAATTAACCTCTAGACAGAAACATTTCATTGAATAAAATGAAGTCGTCCTACTGGGTTACCCTACCTCTGTGTTTATCATTGTTGCATATACTCCTTGAACCGTGCAAGAGCAATAACAAAATATTTCTTTTTCCCAAATCTATAGTTAACAGAAATCCTAGAACAGCTGCAGTAATAAAACCCACTGAGTCGTTATGTAGTTTTTGCCTTTCATAGGTGATAATCGCAGAAATTAGAAATTTAGTGCTTCTGTGAATTGAGAACCCATAAAGGACATATTTGAATCCAGAACTCCAAAGCTTAGTATAGACCTTCTGAAATGTGGTGTGACTCCCTTAGCAAAGGTTTTTCTCCTGACAAAACAAACTGAAGAACTTGTCTTTTGTCAGATCTCTTCTTGTCTCATCCCTATGTGTGTGTAATGAAAGCAAAGGAAAATTGCTTTCTCCATGTCAAGCTCTACTGTTTTGTTCCCTCCAGCTGTAGCCAGTTTTGAGAGCTGTGGAGACCATGTTGCAGAACTGGACAGTGAATTCATGTCCACCTGACAAAGGTTGTATAAACTGAAGGACATGACTGTATGGCTAAATTATTTCACTATTATACACACATAAGCCTGGAAAACCCATCTTCAGCAGTTGGCATGGCAGTGTTACACCATACATGTCTGAAATTGAGTATTGTAGAATCATGGGTTTCCTAGCACTAGACATATTAGGGGGTTTTTTTAGGAATTCACTTGCAGTATATAATAAGTAACTGTCATTTCTTCCTGATCCTTGGTGAAATGCAGAAGGATCTCAGCACACCATTTCATTTAGACTGTCTTCTGGATAAGGGCATGTCAGAAGCAGGCAAGGATGTTCAGAGCTAAAATGTATGTCCCTGACTCCAGCAATGCCCTGTGATAGACTTGAAAGAATGCAATGTTAAAATTTTTACAGAAAGTATTTATTTTATTCATGTTCTGATGTGACTTTCCTGAGTTGTGTTTAAAGTGTTTAGTATCTATACTATTGCAATCACTTTGAAAATTGAATTACCAAATGCATGTTTGAATTTTGTGAAGAGTTTGCCGCTACCTTTGTTCCGTGGTATTAAAGTTCTATTGATCTTTTATTTAACAGTTTTGTTACTAATATTTGAATCTTATTTCTTGTCAGAGAACATTCAAAGCCATTGCTGTACAGAAACACTGGTTTTGTGCTCGTGTGTGGCAGGTGAATCCTAAAAATTGACATACTGCTCACTGTGCAAGTAGATGATAAAAAGCTGTGTCAGTGGCCCACACCAGACCAGACACAGAGCACACACTGCAGTCTATAAGCAGTCTTTCAATTTATTTTTTTTTTGATACTGTGCCACAGATGTGAACTTTATGTTGCCTGACTGCTGGGCTCCAAGTGGTACTTCAGCAGTAGCAGCGTTGCTGTATAGGACAGGCTGGCACCTTTCATTCAAGATGAGGAATCAGGAAATGACATCTCTTGGGTAAGGGATTTTATTCAGTGAGTAAAAAATGAGTTTAGTATAACTCATTCTTTCACCCAGCAAATAATTGGTTTGGAACAAAACATTTAGTAGACTACCTTAAAAAAATTATTTTTGTTGTTTCAGTCACCAGCCATTCTGTCCCCTCTGGTCACTATCAGTTTGCTATAAATATGTATCTGCTTAGTTCCTTAGGATTTACTGCTGAGCTATTTCAGAACATGGAGAAGTGAGCTATATTTAAGGAAATTGTAGTAAAAACTAACAACTATCTCATTAGGGTTTGTTTGGAAACTTAGCTAAGTTTGTGGTAAGTAATGACAATAGACATCCCTAAGCCACGGACTCTTCAGGAGGCAGAAAGGGACCTGGGGGTACTAATTGACAGGAAGCTCAACATGAGCCAACAGTGTGCCCAGGTGGCCAAGAAGGCCAATGGGATCCTGTCCTGTATCAAAAATAGCGTGGCCAGCAGGAGCAGGGAAGTGATCCTTCCCCTGTACTCTGCGTTGGTGAGGCCACACCTTGAGTATTGTGTTCAGTTCTGGGCCCCTCAGTTCAGAAAGGATATTGAGGTGCTGGAGCGGGTCCAGAGAAGAGCAACAAGGCTGGTGAAGGGACTGGAGCATAAGTCCTCTGGGGAGAGGCTGAGGGAGCTGGGGTTGTTTAGCCTGGAGAAGAGGAGGCTAGAGGTGACTCATCACCGTGAAGGGAAGTTCTATTCTTCATAGAATTTAAGCTCCGGGGGAGATTTAGTTGGATATCGGAAAAATTCATCAGGCTTGGACATTTTGGAGATTTTTAAACGCAGATTGGACGTGGCACTGAGTGCCATGATCTAGTAAATGGACTGGATTTGGACCAAGGGTTGGACTCGATGATCTCGGAGGTCTTTTCCAACCCAATCGATTCTATGATTCTATTCTATTCTAATAATCTCCCTGTGTCTGCTGTATATGCAAACTAAACTATGCCAGTTAAGAAATACTCTGTGTATTCTTCATAGAATTTTGGTGTGTTCAATCATCTTCATTTTGTTTCTTAAGTTGCAGGCACATAAAGTTTGGTTTGTATCCATTTTCTGTGCTGTACCCATCTTTTTCAATCTGAGATACTTACAGGGTTTTAATTCAGTGAGATGCCCATTCTCGTGATTTTTATTCCTTCCCAGATATATCAAGATTGAAGAGAAAAAAATGTGAATTCAACAAGAATTTCCATCTCATCCTTCACACTAAGCTGGCTAACACTCACTACAAGCGAGAATTGCAGGCTCAGGCCACCCTCATTAATTTCTCTGTCACTGAGGACAGGCTGGAAGACCAGCTGTTGGCTGAGGTTGTTAGTCCTGAAAGGCAAGACTTAGAAAAACATAAGGCAAAGGCTATCTTTTGATTTGTCTGTTGCCTGTTCCAAGATTTTAAGGCTAGAATTAATATGCCTGTTTGAATTGGCTGTACAGTAATTGTTAGTAGCCCATATATCAGAAAAATTTAAGGGTCAGATTCTGCAAAGTGTAGAAAGTACTTCTACTGGTTTGCTCAAATCTATGCTCCCAGAGGGCTCATCTTGACCTAAGGCTCTCCTAGAAATTAAAATTTATTGTGATATTATTCCCACACTTCTCTCTACTGCTTGGTTTGCTCTGTACGTTGCATTTAATTTACAATGCAGGATTAAAGCCCTCTGCAGTGCTTTCTGCTTCAGTGATCTTAAGCCAATAAATGTAAATAAAATTTCATGCCAGTCCATAAGAGGATATGATGGCACTGTTAGGAGCTGGGATATTTGGTTAATAGATCACAATTTATCCCTGCAAGAATGCAGTTCTGTGGCTGCTACAGTCGTACCAATGTATAGTAACCTATAAGGAGAAATGCTTTTATAGGTGGTTATAGAAAGGACTTTGGGCAGATTGTCATCTATGAGATAAAAAAAGAAATAAAAAATACTTAGGGCTGTGAAATTGATAACAAGAATACTTCCTATTTCTCTACTGTGTCTTTCCAGTTATCTCATGTAATTTACTAACTTCATCTGCAAAGATTGTTTACACCTGTTTGAGGTACTGTTGCTTCATGCAAGGGCAAACTCAGAGAGTTTAATTACCTCTAGAAGAATGAAAGCCATATACTTGGGAACACAATCTGAAAACAGCTGTCCATTTTCCTCTGCATCTGCACGTTGTTCTACCTGGGACTGTATGTTTACAACACCTGTATCACCTTGGGTTTTTGGTGTGAGGGTCAGAGTCTGATTGAGAGCTCCCCATAAGACTAGTCAAGCTCTTTCACTGTCAGAAGGTCAATCCAGCAGAAAAGTTTTCCCACTAAGTTTGCTGCCAAAGTGAGGTTCTCCAGCCTTGTGCTATTCTATGGTTTCCTCAGCTGCCACATAGATTACCACTTGCCATCTCTGGGCAAGATCCCAGTCCTTTTGTGCAGTCTCAGGAGGAAGGACCCTAGCAGAGAGATAAAGTTCTGGTCCATGACAACCTTGTCCTTCTCTCTATAGGTGTCCAGAACCTTAGATCTAGTATACTGGGACAGAAGATAAACTGTCTCTTTCAAAAATTAAATTAAATCAACTGATGTAATTAAACTGAAAATATAGCTCACAAATGCTATGAAACAGTATTTCTTGCTGTGGTTGTTCAAATACAGTGTTTTCATTCCCTCTGCTAATCAGTCCTGGCCAAGCAGCAGAATGGTTTCACGAATGAGCTCCAGCAGCTGGAGGATGACATGCTGCTCAGGCTGTCAGCTGCCTGAGGCAATCTCTTAGATGACAATGCACTTGTAAAGAAAATCAAATCAACAAGTCAACTTCAGCAGAAATACAACACAAGGTAATAACAACTGAACTATTTTTAACAGCTTAAGGTCACTGTAAAATGTGTATTATTAATCATTTTTGGTGTAACATTTCTATGAGTTAGAATAAGGAATAGTCAAATTCCTGTTTATCCAGAAAGGACTGTCCTCCCACATATTCATGGTTTCATATGTATTGTATGTAGTTGTCACATATTTGAGGTTTTTAGGTGCTTGAACTAGTAATCATAAAATTAATAAATAGCATGAAATTTGAACAAATGTATTAATATATGATTGCCATGTTTTCAGAGGTAAACAGGCATATTGCAGAGAATAGTCATTCCCTAATATTTGTCTAAGATAAGAAGCTTGGTTACCTGAAGTATTTACTGCTGTCTGAAATAAAGTCAGTTTTCTAGAGTATATCCATACTCTTTCCTGTATGGATAGGAATGTTATGATAATTGTGTGGGATAATTATGGCACACTAAAAAATAAATGAGACAACAGTCATCCTATAAATAGCTGAAGCCAAAGAAAATGAAGCTCAGATTAACATGACAAGGGAGCACTACAGACCAATAGCTGTAAGAGCATCCATTCCTTACTCTGTCCATATCAGCCTGGGCAGCATCAACCCCATCTACCAGTTTTGCATAATTGGTTTCAAATTTATTTCATGCAAGGAACAAAATTCTGTGTCCAGCAGTGACGCCTGATATGTTAGTTACTACTTGTACCAGATGTTTACATTTTCAGGGCTGTGTGTTTGAGGATAGACCACAATGTGGTCTCCAGCTGGTCCATAACACGGTACATTCCCACAGGTCTCTTTGTTGGCTGTTCCCATTCTGACAGTGTTTTCTGATTGGGCTTGCAAAGTTCGCCTTCCCTTGTGTTAAGCCATCCCACAGAGTCAGGAACGAAGAGTTTGGAGAAATTCTGTATAAACAAATCACTGCAGTAAATCTACCAAATGATCTAATGCTGTAAGGGAGATCACCCACTACAAAATTACCAGCTTGCTTAAGTGAGAGATTTTGTTTGCTGAGTTAAATAAGGAAGCAGAAGAGTATTGCTGTTTGCAACCCTCACCCCTGGTTTGCTGAAAGTTTCCTCAAAAGCCTCTTGGCAGAAGTGCCTTGCATTTTAGACTTCTCAGGTCACCTCTTCTTAGAAGTCTACTGTAAGAAACCAATTATCTTATGAGTAGAAAAGCAAAAAAAGCAAAATTCAAATAAATAAAAATAATTGTATTAACTTTCAGGCCTTCAATGTGTTTTCCACAAAGCAATTAAATAGGCTGAAATATCAGGGGATATTCAATGTTGTATCTCTAACCTGAGAAAAGTTGTCACATATTCAACCTTTCTTTTCTCAAGGCAAGGACTTTTTGTAAAAGATAACCTCATTTTTCTGGCCCAAACAGCTTTTCAGAAGAGGAAAAATCTCTGATTGGTGGTGCTGACGTTTATTTGGTTTGCAGTTTCTTCACTATAAAGTGATGCCTCTGTGCTCAAACCCTGTGGCTGTGCAGTTTCTGGCACAAGGTGACTGCTGCTTCAGTATCAATAATTGCAGAAATTCCAAAGATGCTTTCAGGTAATTCTTTTCATTTAAAATGCTGCAATGATTTCATGAAGCTATTTTGAGGATAAATACCATGACTTAGCTGCTTATGTTTGGATAATTAGGGTTGATCTGGTATGTAAAGTAAGAAGTAAATAATACATATCCATATCACATTCAGGCTGTTATTTTTCCTTTTAATTTTAGTATCTGTATGCCCTGGGAAAAATCAGGGTTCAGTTGTACTGGAAGGCTCTGAAGCAAGTCTGACGACTTTTTTAAATTTTGTGTGCTGTCAAGATTCTTCTAAGAAGTAAAGAGATAGAATTTGTTGAATTGGATTTCCTACTTCAATTCAGAATTGAACACATGTGAGTCCTGTTGACTTCCTAAGTACTCAGTGATGGAGTGTCATTAGAGTAGTTTGGGAAAATTGCTTTTCAGTTCTTTTTGGTGTTATTTCTGGACACATGCCTCAACTAGACAATTTCAAATAAAGTCATACATTCTACTGGGGTTTTTTTTAGTAAAACTAGTGATGCTTTCAAAAAGGAGTTTTCTTTGCTATTTGGGTGCATTTTTCCTTAGACGTCTCATACGGTACTTTGTGAGGAAATTCTATTTTGCCATAATTTTCCAGCCCCTAAAAATACAATTTTATTTCATGCCACTCCTTACTGTAGTAAATGTCCCATACAGGGTTTCCAATTTATTGTATCTTGATGCTTAACAGTAAGCAGACAGTATGGCAATACCAACCACAGTAAACTTTTATAAATAATATTATTTTTATGTATCTGTGCTTGTGGGTATAGATATGTAATTTAGTAGTTTAAGGCAAGTCCTGAGTCCCTTATAATTGGTTAAACTAGGGTTTTTACATACCTCAAAAAGTATCAGTGTCATCCTTTTTCAGTCATCATGCAGAAAGTACATCATCTGTATTTATGTCTTTGGCATACTTCCAGGCTATGGCAGTGATGGATGTGTTCAGTGGGGTAGATAAAGATATTGAAAGATCCACCAAGAAATGGTAGAAGTGGCTGGACTCAGAATGTCCAGAAAAGGAAAAGTTCCCCCAGGAACAGACAAAAAAACCCAAACCTCTTTTGAGAAACAAATAATGCTGTCCATTAGGACAGAATGACATACACTCTGAGGTATGAAATCTGAGGGTACATCTTTCAGGGTAAGTGTGCGTAAGGGTGGTGGCTTGTCTGACAAAACTCAGATCTTAAGAGGAAAGAAAACTGGGTGGTCAAACAGAATTTGAGATCGATGACTGTGGTCCTTCCTGCTGGTGCAGAGTTTGTGAAGAGGTAGTGTGTTGATACATGAGTCACAGCATATTTGGAGATTTGTGATTTCTTTTACTTTGCATAGAGGTACCAGGGGAGAGTACTTACTCATAAATAGACATGCAGTAAGCTATCCTGTTCATATCTAGAAGTGTATTTCTCAGTGTTAGTTTTCATTATGGTATTAGGGCTGTATTAGGTGGGTAACCCCACAGGATGATGATTTTTCAGCTCTCCCTTTTGAAAATTCTGTGGTACAAAGAAAGATTCAGCTGTGGATACTGACCAATCTCCTCCCAGTTGTTTTCCAGTTGTATTGTTTTAATTTTTGATCCCAAGTGATGGTCTTACAAACCTATTCCTCCACATCACACCATCACAGTTTTTCCCCCTTTTTATATGACTTCTGAGAATGCAATTTTTGTCCTGGGTGCTTATTTTGCCCAGCTGCCCTGGCTTTATGTGCCAGTATTGCCTGCATATAATGACTTCATCGATTCAGTTATTGAAGAGGCCTTTTTCATTCAGAAGTTGCTGTTTTCTGTCATGTGGTCCCTATCCCACAGGGAAATGGGAATGATTGTCTTCCCTCTTGTTTCATCACCTGTTTCCCTTCCTGCCTTCTCATGATTTCTCTGATGAAATGACCATCACTGTCAGATGCTCAAGTCTGCAATGGTGCAGACTTGAAGCATTTATCAAGGAACATTTTTTATCAAGGAACATCAAGGAACATATTTAGTGGATGTTTTGTCATATGCATAGGAACTTTGTGGAAGAAAAGCTTGTCTGACAGTATGTGGAAAGCGCAAGGATGGATTTAGCAAAATGCTAAGTGAGCAGTCCAGCTCAACCAGTCCTGTGTTTTTCATTCTGGCTTCCAGAGTAGACCCACTTGAAGATACTGAGACATTAGGTAAGCCTCTCACTTGCTTCACTCGCAACAGAAGCAACTTGCAACTGTCCTCCCATCCATCAAAGAAAGGAAAATTGAGCTCAAAAGTGAAATGGAGCATGCAGGGCTAGAAATGAAGAAAAATCTATATATGGTTATATGCTTGTGTGTATGTTCTCATACATACAAGCATGTAGGGGTGTATTTTTTTTTCTACTAAACAGAACAAAGCCTTCGGGAGTCCTCTGTCACTACAATGGAGTATGCACTACTATGGGAAAGTTGAGCGCAGTTTATTTTTGGCAGCAGATTCAAGTTCTAAAGTTTCTTCCACCCCCACCAGATGCATGGCAATGGGGTGGATGAAAAGTGTAAGGCCATAACCACTACAGTATGAAGAAATTTCTAGATTGAGCATTCCTCTGCTTGGCATAATGCAGGTTTCCTTTGTACTGTTTTCTACCTTTTGACTAGATGAGGGCCAGAGGGCAATTTTCTCCATGCTCATGTAATCTTGTGCCCCCTGTGACTAAATAATGGTCATTATACAAACTATATTCAATTGTATAGGGCTCTGTGGCTCTATACTTAGGATTACTATTCCCCACAGACAATAGTGAGAATACCAGGTTAATACATCTGTGACCTCACTGTGCTCAATTTAAGCTCAGGCCTCACAAGGTGAGAGGCTTGTGCATTTACCCACTGAACCAATCAGTTAAAAAACTGATGTGATATCTACCACATGTTGCTCCTTTTTTCATAAGGGAATTGCTCTGTACCCCCTGTAAGAGTTTCTAAAGCTCAGTAACAATGCCGAGCATCTATCAAAATGTCAAAAGGTTCATTATCTTAAAACCAAGGGAACAGATTTCTGCAGGCTTTTTCTAATACCAGCAATAAGGCCACTGTTGAGAGCTCGCAATTTTGCTTGTTGAAATTGTAAGGGCTTAGTGAAGTGCTTCAGAGGAAGTAATATGCATTGCACAAGTGATAGTGAAATTAATGGGGGCATTATCATTCTTTTTCCTTTCTGCTCTGCTAATTTTCCTATCTCCTCCCCCTCTGTCACTCACCCTTCCCCAATTATTTCTATTGCAGGCAAAAAGCTTGGGTTCATTATAGACTGTAGACTCTAGAAGATTTCATAACATCTCTTTCGGACAAAGGATGGTTGCAAACGAGGCACTCAAGAAGGCTGCCTGCCATGGCCAAGGGGTTCATTCCCAAGTGAGTGTCAAACAGTCCCTCTGACAAGGGAATGCCTCCTCAGCTGGAGGGATATTTCCAGAACACAAAATATGCAATGGATGACAGCAAAAGTTTTAAACAGCTAATAATCTTGTTCCATTTGCTTTTGCTTTTGGTTGTAACAGGATAAACATCATATTAATAGGGTGTGTGTCATGTTTTGCTGAACAGCATCACCATCCCAGGAGGAATGGCAGAGATAAAGCAGAAGGCCCCTGGTGGGTAGCTAGAATTGCCCTCAGGCACACACTTCCCCCCCTAATTAAGAGCTCCTGTTCCATTCAGTGGGCCATAATGGAGACTTTAATGAAATGGGTCTAACTGCCCCTGGGGAAGCTGTATAATTAGCCCTGGAGTGCTGCTTTTCAGAGATAGCAGCCCTGGCTTTGGCCAGCGTTGTATGGACCAAGAACCCACTCTGCAGCGGACAAAGAGATCCGTGCAATCCCTTGGCAAGCAATGGTTTCCCAACACAGTAAAAGAGCGAACAGGAGCACTGCATCTGTAAATGCTACTGAAAAAAAGATGCTGCCTTCAAACGTTTTGTGCCAAACAGCCAATGTGTATGTGTGACAACCCCTCTGCCCTCAAGCCAAACAAGAAATGCATGTTCCAGGCCTTGATATTAAGGTGGTCATGAGAATGGACTGATTCCCTCCTCTTCTGGTTTTAACCTCAGCATCCTGGTTTGTCTGTTAACCAAGTTGCCTGCAACAAATGAAGAGATGGACTAGATTCAGTGTTGTCTGCTAGATGAAATCTCCATGGGATTAGTGAGGGGCCCTGATGTGCTAGGCACTGTGGGAGCATGCACAAACTGCCCCCTTTAGCATCAGTGAAACCAGAACTCTTTAACCAGATTTCACGTGAGTAAGCTAATCATGCTAGTCTAAAAATAACCCTATTTTACTGATAGTGAGCATAGAAATGTTGTTGTGAAGAGAAGAGCCAAGTTGGTTTTCAGGGGAGTTTCAGAGTTCTCAACCACTCTGGGGACAGGATGAGAAAATGGGAGAATGGTAGAAGCAGTGTTGTGTGTCTGAAGCCACAGGAATTAACGGGGAACATCTGAGAAGCTTCTGATGTTACAGACCTGCTCCATTTTCCAGCCCATTATTCCTGGCTTCTGAGGGAGGAGAGGGGAAAGGATTTTGCTGTAAAGACTTTTGATAGTGAAGGATTGGGGAAAGTCTGAAAGGACATTCCATAAAGATGTTGGACCGAATCTCAAATGGTGCTAATCTAGCTAGAGCTAGTGAGATTTGGATGTACTCAGTGCTTCTCAGTCTTTAGTCTTCTGGGGTTTAGCCCAGAAACCCTGTAAGTTTATGTTTCAAAAAAAATCCTGGACCAAAAGATGACATATTTTACTATGGATTTTATTGTAGACTAGGGAGTGTATAATTAGATATTTAAAAAAAAAACAAACAAACAAAACAAAACCCAACAACAATAACAAAACCTAAACCGAACAAAAAACCCCAAACCAATCTGCTATTCTGACTGATCTGGGAAATACTTTAAAAATTACTTTGGCTTCAGGTCTTGCAAAAGCAGTTGGCACAGTGGTTGGTAAACTAGCAGAATAGAGACTGACTTAAATTTTTTTGGTATCGGATTTAACTCTTCTGTCAGTTTTAATTTCTCAAATTCAGACACCTGATATATTGAATGTTTATTTTGTTGTTATATCAAGGCTCCTGGTTTTATTCAGGGTAGAAACTTGTCTTGCATTTTTCATGGTTAAACTCAACATTCTGACTTAAGAAGGTTTTTTTGTCAGACATAAAATCCTTCACCTTTCCCCAGACTCTGCTACCTGTTGTTTAGTTCAGTTGTTTATTTCCTTTTGAAAGCCAAGAGTTTATCCTTCTGAAGTTTCTTCCACACATCTGTGTTTCACGGGTATCAAAAGTAATTTTATGTCCATTACTTCTTAAAGTAAAAGACAGAATATATGTCAGAGAATTAATTTCTGCAGTTTTTATAGGCAATGCCAAATATTTTAAAAACCAGCTGAAGCCCTGTGCTAAATCTTATCTTGCCAAAATTCTCTACTAACACTACAAGCCATGGAGGCAAAAAAAAAATATTCAATTTCAAACATGATTTTTGGGAAACTAAAATTTGAAGGACTTTGAAGGCTTTTTTAGTAAGTGTTAAACTGGTACATCTTCTGCTTGGGATAAAGTCTATGGATGATTTATGCTAAGAAACTGTAGTGGTTGTCTGAGTATTATTTATAGAGTTCTAGTTAAAGACTCTATTTTTGTTGGTTTCAGTAGCACAACAGTTCTTTCCTAGGGGATATTTGGAAATAAAAATGTCACTATCAACACTTGTGCATCTGTGAAATTACTGCAAAAAATACTGCCCAATCTGTGGCATATACTGATCATTAAGAAACCTGTTTCTTACTCTCCTTCCAACCCCAGGCTTGTGAGTGCTCCCTTTCAGCTGCTGAGGCAGGCACAGCTGTCGATAACACTGCCAGTTGTTACTGCATGTTATTCCTTTTTATTTGACAGGATACCCTTGAGCTGTGTACCAGAGAACGGAAATTTAAAAGCATCCTTTATCTTCTGTGCAATTTTCACAGTTGCGTTGTTGGGAGGCTGAAGTTTGGCCCTCAGGGCTGGAACGGAAGGCAGCGGTTCAGCACCAGAGATCTCTACGTCCGTGTCACTGTCCTCTGCAACTATTTGGAGGCCCATGTGAAGGTAAGAAGTAGTGGTCAGGTAACCACATGCCAAGGTCATTTCAACTCAATCAGCTGTTTATACTGAATAAGGGGGACACAATCCTTTCTCTGGAACTGTTATTTAAGTAGCTGGCATTATATGATGCTCTTGTTGAGTATGAAAATAAACCAGATCAAAGGGGGTGGGGGGCTGTGGGATTTTTTCTGGCAGTGAATGCTTGAACTTTGTAATATAGGTCAAACCAGTTCCACATCAGTAGCTAAAGGGGAAAAAAATGCCCTTCATTATGTTAACAAAAACAGGGGTTTACATGTGCATATATGCCAAATTCATTAGGCAGGTAATGAAGCATTTGCACAAATGTAATTACAAACAGCAATTCTGACAGTTCATAACACTGCATTAATAATCACTACAATTAGTTTTGATGATGGAAGCAATTTACAGCACGTCACATATATAAATAATGGTGCATTTCCTGAATGTGTCATTATTATGTATTAAGGATGCCACCTTGTTGTGACTTTCTCAGTAATGTTCCCCTTGAGTCAAAGTTAAGGGTAGATGAGTGATTTTATTTCTGAGCTACAGCATATTTCAGACTTGTATAGTTTAAATACCGAGTTGAGGTCACTTGTCTAAATTCTGTATGTGAAAATGTGAAATGCCTAAATAAAAGCAGTAATTATTTATTACTGAATGTTATAGGATATTACTAAATAGATCCTCCAATTTTAATAACTTAAAGAAATTTCAGAGATAATCATAAAGAAAAAAAGATAAGTGTAACCCCTTGATTATATGGTTTTCTCCTTATCTTCCAACTTGTATTTGCTCTTACAAATTGATTTTCTTTTTGTCTTCATACCCCTAATGACCTTTATTTAGCTAATAGGACATCAAAGTGGTTTTCCTTTTTGTAGTACTTGGTGTCATAATAGTGAAATAATTGGTTAATTTTATAGTGATGATTTAATAATGTTTCCCATTTAGAAAACAAGTCTATAAAATCAGCTTATTCCAACCCTTAGTTTTCTTTGCTAATAAGTCTTGCTGCTTTAAGCTCTGTTCTTTTCAAACCACAATTCATAAGCTGGATAATTAATTTTGCTAATTAATGAGAGGGAGGATTCTGATCTCAGAGAGCACTAGAAAGATCTGTAAGGTCAAGAATTATTTCCTCTCTTGGTAATATTGCTTATTGGCCCTTCTCATTGTATTGGTTAGTGATTCATTACCATGTGGCTTTATAAGGATTTTTTTTACATAGACATTGGAGAGAGAAATAAGGTAATAGGTTTTTTAAAATGTAACTTTGTATACATGTATATATATGTGTATTTATCTATATAAACCTCCCAATTTATTATCTTTTGGGGAAAACGTTCTTAAGACAATTATGGATTGACCAGAAAGCAGAAAGCATAAGCTGGGCAACTTGAGCTAGCCCATCAGCTAGTGGAAATTGCCATAACTTGATCATCACTTGTACCAGTTTTATAGTGTTTTCCTGTGAATATCCAATCTCGCATCTCAGTTTGACTTAATCCGTTTTCCTGCTGCTAAGACAAACTCCAACATACTAACTCTGATAGTTAAGGCCTCCTTATGTGAAGTACAGGATGCTTGATCCTGCCTCATTGTCCCACTCTTGCCCTCCACCTTCTGATTCCTACACATGTGTTTGTGGAGTTGTCATTCAATGTTGTAAGGGGGATGTGGATTCTGTCTTCACCGTTATCCATCCACTGAGCAATGGCTCTGTGTTTTTTGGGGTACAACAGACTAGTTTTCTGTATAGTACAATGGCAATTATGTGAATCTGACAGCCCAAAATATTTCTAATTCAAGCTCTTCGGTTTTCTTACACTACCAAAAATTCCCCTTTTGTATCAGCAGCTTTGATTACCCCAGTATAATCAATGCCCCAGAAATGTGCAGCTGAATAAGCTCATACTGAGTTAGAATATTGATATACTCTTGTAAAAGACAAAGGGAGGAGCAATTTCTTGAGATAAATATATATGAAATTAGAAAAACATTAAATGAAGTTTTGTTGCCAACAAAGAGAAGAGCAGGTTCTAACTCCAAGAATGCTTTGTTCTAAATCCAAGTTGTTCACATTTTTCACAGGGATTCTCTGATCAGTCTTCTCATCACAAGCATGCAGTGTTACATGTTATATTCCAGTGGGGTTTTTTTTAAAATTTTTTTTCCATTCTCTTTAAACCAGTTTAAAATAAAGATGGGTTAGAGTTTCACATAATCAAACTGCTACATGCAAGTTTATGTAGTAAGCAGGCTGGAATAGCTGCAGCTATTTTACTTGTTCTGTTCTGTTACATCATGCAATATGTTAAGCCTATAATTAAGTTTTTACTTGAACTGTTGGGAGACAAATACTGCCCCCAAGGGCATAACGGTTCCTGTCTGCAAAGGTTTCCTCACAAACTGGCATATTTTGCAAACCAAAGGGGAACAAAAAGAAGCTTCAAATGTTGTGAAGCCAAATTAAAGAGAAAGACAGTAGTTTCTTGAATAAAATGATTTTCCACTCTTAATCACATGCTATAACAATGGCGTTATGACTAGAATTCTACAATAAACTTAATGCTTATGTAATGTGGCAGTCATGGGGTTAATATTAGTTCAATTTTCACTAAAGTTCTTGAATACTTCCCAAATTCAAATAATGTAGAATTTCAGTTACTAAGTGTTTCCTAGTGAGAGGATATAAAACACTGCAATCAGATACAAGTTTTTTATTTCTCAAAGGCACAGTAGGTTACCTTCCTGTCACTCATGAGGATTATGTTTTTAAAGATCTGTATGAGAAAATACATGCACTTGTTCATGAAGTTATGTTCTCATATCATGTGGAGTCTTGAAAATGTGCTTTTCACTTATAAGATTTTTATAAGGGATAAGGTAGAAAACATGACATAAGTTTCAGATAATTCATTTTACACTGTTACTGATTTTAGTCACAAACTTACTGTTTTTACTCAGATACCTCTCTCTGGATTGAAATAAAAGAAATATGTTTTTCAGTGTAGTCTGATGAACAAACCAAACCCAGCAATGCAGACATATAACCATGAAGCTTTCTGAAAAGAGGCACTTTAATGTCTTTTGTTTCTCCAAGCAGCATTTATTCTGAACAGCTTTGGTTTCTCCTTTAGAAAGCTGACTTGTTTTGTTCAGTGATGCATTCTATTCCCCAGGTAGGTCCTATGGGAAAACTTGCATTACCTCTTTGGTGAGATCATACAGAGTGGCCACCAATACCTGGGACCACAGGCTCTGCTCTGTACACCTGCAAGAACTCATCAGACCACTTGTGGTAAGAACTTTCACATATGCCTGAAGCTCCTGAACATGTATGTAGTATATTCAACCTAAGGGAAATTGAAGACCACAAACTTTCTCATCTATGCAGCTCCACCTGTAGCTAGGTCTTGTCTGACTGTGGAGGAATAAATTTTACAATGATTCATCATGAGCAGATTTTGTCTGAAAATGTTTGTGACTTGGCATACTGCTTGTTTACTTTTTCAAGTACCCTTACTTGGTAACGTGAATTCAGTATTTTGTAACACTGCTTGTATAGTGATCTTAATGACATTGGGTATGCTTAGGTTTTCATTTTCCTAGTAATACTATTTTAAGGTGCTTCAATTTAGACAGGTCTGGATTGGCATGGGTAAGTATCTCTTATGGAACTGGTTACTTTAACCAACATAACTGACAGATTCACCGGTTCCAGCAGTCCAGAATGGCACCATCCTCAAAACTTGCACTTGTTTGCACATTTTCTTCTCCAGAAAAATAGTAGAATGGAAATGTTATACATTTCCTTGCATTTTCCCATTTCCAAAATAGGGAAAATAGTTTGTAAGACTGTTTTTAATTTTCTACTACCCTCTCACACATCAGTAGCTTTGTCAGTTTGTCACCAGCTGACATATACTGAATATTCAAATTTCACTGTTGAGTTTTTGTCCTGGACAGCAGTGTATGTGGAGCATCCATGAGTCCAAGGTGCCAGGTAGGCAGAGTTGCTTCTAATCAGCAACAAATGTTAGAATTTTTGAGGCTACAAAAAGAAAATGTTGCTCTAACTTTAGTTCTAAGAAGTCTTGCTTGGAAATTACTTTAAGTTATTTCCATATACATACATTTATATGTATTTATGTGGATGTATATACAGGGGGTGTGTGTATAAGATATATAGATAAAAATATTAAAACAACCCAGTCAGTTTCTGGGTTTGCTGAAGTAGTTACTTCAGAGAACTGATTGTACACAATTTTCTAAAAACAGCCAAGAGATTTTTCGAGTACCCTTTGCAGACTTCTTATTTTTCATTTTCCAAAGGTAAAATTTTATTTGAGAAGAATAAAATATGGAAATTAGCATGTTACATGTGAGCAGGCCGTTTGTGGAGCCTGGATAACTTGGGGGAAGTGCACCTTTCAGCCCTGGCAATGGGCTGAAGCTGCCTTGCAGTTGCAAGCAAGATGAGCGGGCTGATGTCTCCCTGGTCCCTAACAAGCAGGTTTTCATATGTCAAAGAGCCACACTCAGATGAAGGTAATTGGAAGTAACTGCTCAGAAGAAGATGCCCAAGAGTAAGTTGCCATGGAGATGGAAAGGCTAAACACCACTGTACTCCTGACCTTGAAGGAGGCGGATTTCTCCACATGACAGCTGAGGTCGCAGGGGCATGCTGGGAAGCTCATCCTGCCGGCTCGAGGTCTTCCTGTAGCCTATGGATAAGTGAAGAATTACTGCTTCCAGTTTTGGTAGTCCATTAACCTTCACAAGCCTGAACTTTCATTCAAATAATTGCAAAATAAGTATAGGTGGTGAAACCTGAACAGAATCACTGCTATTTGTATGGCCTTTGGAAAGTTTAGGGACCCAACCCTGAGCTTGGATCCACTGGTGTCGATCTTTCCAAGATTTTTGATGTAATTGGAAAATACTAAAGCTCAGAATTACCAGCAAAACCAGAAAATCATTTATTGACCGGCAACCAAATGAATGTAAACAGGATGGCCTTTCATCACTGGTGGGGCTTTGTGTTCACTGGGGCGATTACCTTCTCTTCTTACCTGTTTGCCTTACTGATGAGTTCTTTTAGATATAAATTCATTTCACAAGGTGCATTAGAATAAGCCACTATGCATGAGCTTTGATATACCTCACCTGGGATCTGCCATAAGGACAGAAGGGTGGCGAGTTCCTGCTATGAACCCCAGTAACCCACAGCCTCTGTGCACATGACTCCCATGGATACAGTAAAACCTGATTTAAGTGCCAGCAGAGAGACTGGTAAGTACAAACTGTCTGACAGAATTGATCTTCTACTCAAGGTAAATAACAGGGCTTTTTTCAAAACCTCAGCACTACTTCAAAGTGGTCTTAAGATATAGCCTATTGTGGGTGAGGTTAGTGGTGCAAGTTCAGGCGCAGGTAAATGGCTGGTTGCAGAACCAAATGACTTCAGAAATAAGTGCTTAGTGATGTTATTTTGAGCAACAGCTTGTTGTTGACTGTTCTAAATGCCAAAAGCCGTTAAATGTTATTGTGATTCTGTGGAGTGGACCCTGCATTAGGAAGAAATAGCTCTTGTGAAAAGTACCACTTAAAGCTAGAAATATTTTTCAGCAAAAACAACTTCAAGTCTAGTTTAAATCCCAGACAGCCCTATGACAATAAGTTCAGATAAATGCTCTGAATCCAGTGAAGTTCTTACAGCACAGGAGCTGGGGGAGTCTGGAAAAGAAATGTGATTGCTACAGCTTTTATTCTGTCCTGTCATCTGTAGGAGTACTCTTATACACCAAGAGTACATCTCACCAAAGCCCTGTCTACCTACTTAAATCTTGATCTGCTCTAAAGTCCCAAGTCTTATCTTAAATATCCTGACAGAGTTAGGGCCTAGGTGCTCTGTAGGAACAGTGCAGTTAATAGTGTTCGGTTCAATATTGAGCTGATTGAGACCTTAATTTTTTTCTCCTGCAAAAATCATCACCACTGTCTTTCTCACTGAGGCCAAAGCAGCATTATAAAACCCCAAGCAAGACTCCTACCTTTGGAGAGATGCAGTGGTGTAGCTAATTTTCTTTTCTGTTCCAGCTCCTGGCTGCTAGGGACATTCTCTTCAGCCAGGCAGAAGAGAATGGAAGGGACATAAATACTGTCCTTACTGGCAACCATTTCTGTGGAAAGTGGAATGGGATCACTGTTTCAGATAAGTTAAGATTGCCCATATACTGACATGTGCTATCCCAGTTCCACACTCCGCTTACCTGTCTCATCTACCTGTCTGTCCCTTTGACCACTTTAAGGTTATTATGAGTGCAGTGTGTTTGTGCAAAGCCCCTAATTAATGACAGACTAAATAGAACTAATGCTGTGGCTCATATTAACACACAACAGGGTTGAGGTGAGTTGAGACTCCAGTCCTGCCTCTCCCACAGATGTCCTGTGTGACTTTCCTCCTGCTCAGACTCTCATCTGCAAAATGGCATAATAATCCTTGCTTGTCTGCTGCAGGGATGCAGACATTCAGTACTTAAAATACACTCACCTCAGTAGTGACAGTCCTTAAAACAAACTCAGAGCATCCTCATGAAGGAAGAAGCAACAGTATTTTAACACTGCAGAAAATGGGACTGTCGGGAGATTATGCAAATAGTAACTATGCTAAAAATACTTTGGTAATCCTGTTCCATTGTATCAGAACATACAGACATCATGTCCACAGACTCCAAGAAAATCTCAGAAATTTTGAAGATACAGAGGAACATTTCAAGAACTGGTCTCAGAATTATCAATAACATTATTGATTCTTTTCTGCAGCTTGAAGGGGAACCGGCACTAGGTTTCTTGGCCCCACCAAATCTGGATTGTGATGGATACCATAAATACATAGATTAAATTCTTGCATCTGAAAGCCCTGTACTATATGGACTGCACTCTGATGCTGAGATTCTTGACGACAATATCAGATAATTTCTTCAAAACTCTTTCAAAAATGCAACCTATGGATACATTTGTAGGAGAGGGATCAGGCTAGTCTGCAGAGAAAGATGTGAAGTTCTTAATCTGGTGTGTTGTCAGTGCTTTAATGACATGTGGAGCACACATCTGACTGTGTTATTTCAGCAAGAGACCTAATTTCTGGGGGGAAAATGATGCATCAAATTAGAAAAGATTAAATGAGTGTTAATACTAGTGATGATAATGCACCAGCCTGGCCAAGGTACTGCGCTAGGACGGAATTTGGACCAAAGATATTTGGAGTAGAGGAACATCTAACCTGTTATGCAGTTCATTTCTTTTTAACTTTGAATTAATTGTGGGGTGGGAAACAAGGTATGGATCTATCTTACTTTTTTTTTTATGCTTTTATAAACAAGTACAGCAACAATAACTTACTAAAAAAAAGGCATGGTTGGTTGAATTGGTGGGTCTAGTCTTCACCTCTGTCCTTTGTTCTCATCTCCTGCATGATAAATCCCCTTTGAGTAGCTTTCCTGCTCCTTCCCACTTGTACCAAGCATAGGAAGTCCCTCCCAGCCTGCAGTCCTGGATTCCTTCTGCCACGCTGACAGCACAGCCAAGCGACGATGTGCACGGTCTCCATGACAGGAAGGGTAGCCCAAGCACAGAGCTCTCCCATCACTTCCCTTGCTGGGCCCTTGATCTGATTAGGAGCCATGTGGCTGCTCATAGAGACTTCCCTTCTGAGCAGTAGCCAAGGAGGTTTTCAGGGAGTTTTAGTTTACTGGTAGTCTGAAGAGGTGAGATCTGGCCAAGGAGGCTGTTTGACCATCTCTTAGCCTTAGCACCTCTCTTGTACAGAACCTGGAGTTTAGCAGAACAATATCATTAACATATATAAGCCATCAGATGCTAGGTTAAAGGGACCAACCCTAATAGAAGGCTAAGCTTCGTCATTTAATATGGAGTTAACTGGGGCACTGTAGTTCTGTTCATGGAACATCACTGGTGCTGTACTTAAGAGATTAAATGAATAACACAAGAGCAGGGAAGGAAAATGTAATCAGAAATCTCAGCTAGTTCTGTTTCAGACCTTTCTGTCTTCTGCACCTTCCTTTCTGAGTGTAGGTCTGAGAAACTATGTCCAGAAGCCTCAAAACCTGCCATATGATGAGACTGAGCCTTGAGCTCCTCATCCTTACCAGAGTTAATTAAAGTCTCCTGTGACTCCCACTCTTCTGCATTTCTCAGTCCCTTTCTTTACTCCCTTCTTTTCCTCTAGGCACTCTTTTTTTTTTCTCTTATCAGTATCAGATCATGGAGGCTTTGCAGGAGGGAGTGTGACAGCTCTTCTTGCAAGTGGCCAAACAGCACTTCATCTGCTGGGGGAAGTTTGTGCTTTTCACATTCAGTTCCCATCCACTTTAGGGAGTCTGGACTATTATATATGGCATTCATTAATTCTGCCAAAGCTAGGACTGAAACAGAGGCTGAGCTGCATTAATGCTGTGATTTCAGTTCCTGCTCATTAGTACTGTTACGAATTGTTCTTCATTTATGTTCTGTCTCAGTTACAGAGCAGGCCTGCAGGGAGGGAGAGAGGCTCTTTTGGGGGGTGAGACGTGTGTGCCTGTGCCTGCACTGTATTTTGCCTAATGCCTGGGACAGGAAGGACTGTGGGTGGTGGAGAGGGTGAAGGAAGCTATTAGGTACTAGAGAAGAACAAACCTCCAATCACACTCAGCTGAAAATCAAGGCAATTTCAGGGTACATCCTACTAACAGCAGTCATCCCAAGTCTGGAACAATGTGTTAGTGGGCTTCAGGGGTCAATATTACTTGAAAATGTGAAGCTAAATAGAAGCTGCTAAGTGTTAATTGTTTTGCAGTGATTTATCTCAGTACTGGTGCCAAAAAGACAGCAAAGGTGAGGGAGGGAGCATCACTGGTTTTTATCTAAGAAAATGAGATGTTTGCACTCTCCTGGAAAAGAAATCAGACTTGAAAGTAGAAGACACAAAAAGAGTTGACTGCCGGGATTTCTAATGGCACTGTTGTATTGTCCTGGACAAGTTAAAGAATGTCCTGGATGATATTCTGGAGATACTTCTTGAGAAATTCAATGTCATGCAGAAGACTACTGCCTGGAGCCCCTGTGCCCTTGTTTGCCTTCAAGAGTATAGGAGGAGGAAACTTTGTCCTTTCAGAGATCTGTAGCTGGACCTCACTATGAAAGCAAATGACTTTTTTATTAACAGTACTGTTGCTCTTCTGTGCATTTTGGGGCTTTTTTTGCTTTTTTTGGAAATGAAAGAATAGCTATTCTTTATAGTGTCAGTATGCTTTTTATTTTTCTGCAGACAAAGGGGGAGCTGATATTTTCTCCTCACATGGAAGTGCTGCAATCTACACTCTTCTGTGATGTTTTGCCAAACACATGGACTAAACTAGCATATTCCTTCCACATAATGCTTTACCCACTGGTAAGTACCCTACAGTGACAGGGTTTAGCTACTAAGCACAGAGCTATTCCAGCAGCTTTATTCTTTTTTTTCCAAAATTTTTCCTAATGAAAGTCAGTTTTCCTTTGAAGTGGGTTTTGTAGAAATGCCAAGCACTTTGCTGAAGGCTCCATCACCACCCTTTGTCCCAAGTACTAGGGGTGTTCAGCATCTTGCAGGATTCCTTTTCCCCTAGCCTGCCACCAGCAATAGCCGCTTGCAGGTGGCTAGACATGGATAAACCAGGCAGCGTTTTTGGAAATTCCTCTGATACCTCATGGCAATGTATGCTGCAGTATGCCATTACTCAAACAAAAAAGCCAAACAAATAAAGACCCCAAACAAATAATAATTTAAAAAAAAAAAACAACCACAAAAACCGTCTTTCTCCTGTTTTTTTTCTTCCACCTTGGCAAACAGTTGACAGTTGTAAATAAACAGATCTAAAGAACTCTGATTTTTTTTATTTGCTATGCCATAATACTTATAAGCCTTTGGGGAAATATACCAAGAAGCAAGGAAGTACTTGAAAATCCCTGTATTAGCATGAGATATAATGACACAAGTAGGTGGGCAAAGTGTAAGATTTAAAAGAAACTTTTTTTGATCTGGATTTTCAAGCAGTCAGTTATTGCAGTAGGTGTAATATGGTTGTAGGCTGTCTCTGAATGGAAATCACGTTCATCTTTTGAGCTGCAACCCCTCTTTTAACAACTTTCAGAGGATAAACATCATACCTTGTTTTTTTTGAATCTGTGTTTTCCTGAGACTGAAGCATCTCATTTAGGAATGCCAATTCAGGCCTGTCATCAAAATGAGATTTTAGTTTTAACTTTGAAAAGCTGTAAACTAAGTTACAGTTCATTAGAGGAAAGGTGAATGACTCCCAGAGGCAATTAAAGAAACATCATTGTTACTTGTACTCTTCACCAGACCCACATATAATAAAAGGTAAGCAACACTTTTGGAAGAGAGTTGCTACTACAGAAGCCCCAAGGCGCAAGTCAGGGTGGGAGAGTGGAGCAATGACAAAGATGTCATTTGACTGTTGCTTTTTGAAATGGTGACATGCATTTTTCAGAGGATTTTTTTTAAAGCATTTATCAATCGAAGGGTAATACTGTATATTCCTCCTCTGGATATGAGGGAAGTATCATGGAACCTTGTGACTGAAGTTTGTGTTTCTGATGGTATTTGCATATATAGTTTCCTGTCACATAAATCCTCCTAAAATCCACAAGTATATGCAACATTTTATATGCTAGTTTATGTTAGAAGAACACACAACAAACTTAAATCCAGCAGTTTTCAGAAAGTGCATGGCCCTTCAGCAGCACAGAACTCATCTGTTTTAACTACACCAAAGTACCTGTTTGATATCTCACAGTACAAATACAGGCTAAGTGCTCCAGCATAGTTCTCCACCCTTTGGTGGAGAATTCACCATAAACCAGTGGAGGATTAGGGGAAAATCTGAGAATTTGACTTTGGCAGGAACATTCATATTTTAAGTCCCAACTGTAAATAGTTTCCAGTCCCTGCTTTCAATAAGAGGGCATGTTGATGAAACCACAAGTCCAGTCCAGGCAGATGCTACGTACTGATCTCTGCATTCATACAAAGAGATCATAGAATCATAGAATCATAGAATCGATTGGGTTGGAAAAGACCTCTGAGATCATCGAGTCCAACCCTTGGTCCAAATCCAGTCCATTTACTAGATCATGGCACTCAGTGCCACGTCCAATCTGAGTTTAAAAATCTCCAGGGATGGTGAATCCACCACCTCTCTGGGCAGCCCATTCCAATGCCTGATTACTCTCTCTGTAAAGAATTTTCTCCTGATATCCAACTTAAATTTCCCCTGGCGGAGCTTAAGCCCGTGCCCCCTTGTCCTATTGCCGAGTGCCCGAGAGAAGAGACCAACCCCCACCTGGCTAGAACTTCCCTTCAGGTAGTTATAGACGGCGATGAGGTCACCTCTGAGCCTCCTCTTCTCCAGGCTAAACAACCCCAGCTCCCTCAGCCTCTCCCCATAGGACTTATGCTCCAGTCCCTTCACCAGCCTTGTTGCTCTTCTCTGGACCCGCTCCAGCACCTCCAGATGATGCACAACTGGACAACAACAGTCCGCACTAAATCTGCATGTTCAAATGTAGCTTTATCTGTTTAGCCACTGTTAAAACCCAAATTATTCCGGTCTTGCACTACAGAACACTACGTAAACCGCGTGCTGTTTATTGCAGGCACCAGGCTGGACATCAAGCTGGGGCCGATACCTGAAGCACAGCTCAAGGAATTGACTTAGCAATGCCAATCATTTTTTTAAGGGCAATTCCAGTGGATCAAAGGGAAACTGATAATGTTTATGAATGTCCAGTTTATAAAATCAAAAGCAGAGGGCCAGCTTATGTTTGGAATTTCAATCTGAAAATCAAGAAGTCAGGTAAATGGGTTCTGGCAGGAATAGCTTTACTCTTGGCAGTTTAGTACTAACCTTTCAATAATACATGCTGCTTTCTCAATCTGCCTTGTAGTAAAAGTAAAAGAAGATAAACATTTTTCAAAGTCAGCTGGAGCAGGAGATTTGCCTCACAAAAACACAATCCTTAGTGTAACACTTATGTGCTCTATGTTGTTATTTCCTCATCCATCAGTGTTGCGTTCATGTGTTTCTCCACATAATGATTATTGATCTGCAAGCACCATTACACCAGCTACGGGAAAGTAAATGGGAAACATAGCATCTGGGTGTAGTTTGACTCACAAAATACTCCTCTTTAGATTAGTCTTTATTCTCTCTACATAAAATGAAACATGTATCTTACAAGAATTTTAACATGCAATACAGGCATGTTGCATTTAAACAAAGTTGTTCAAAAGCCTGGTTGTACAAATGAAAAAACCTCTAAGTATGAACTGTAAGCAAAAAAAAAATTAATCCTGAACTCTGATTTAGACCAGATGGTTCAGGCAGCAGATGCACTACACAAAAACTGCTGGTTTTACTGGGATGATGTTTAAAATTTTATTTTATATTTTTAAAGAAATACTCTTCTAGTTTCATGTTTCTGTGAATAATTGCACTTTGAAATAAAATAAAAAAAACAATCATCCTCCCACTGGTCGATTGCATCAGCTTTGGTTGGAATATAATGGCATCAAATGAAAGTACACTTTCCTTCTTTGCAGGGACAAGTTCCATAAACCACAGGTGGATTAACAGGTTCAGAAAGCAAGGGTTGGAAAACTGAATCTTTAAGGTCAAGTTGGTAGACAAGGGTGTTTTGTTTCTTTAAAGATACGGATGCTTTGAAGGTAGTTGTTAAACATCCTTTCTGCAAACTTGCACAATTATATAAATAAAAATATTGCTCAAACTGATCAAGTTCTCTATCACGTGCTTGGGTAGCTCTATTAAAAATTAACCACTCAAGGTTCAAGAGTGCCACTTCACTTAACCTATAGGTCTGTGCATGTAGATTTCTCTACCAAAACATTTTCCTGAGAGATCTTTTGCATAAGACCACATCAATCAAAAAGTTCCCAACACAGAAATGAATGTACTATACACAACAATTCTATCTTATATAAAACGGAGTAATAAACTTTTGAAGTCAAAATTTTTCAACATATTAACCAGTTGCAGGCACAGCTTGAGCTCAGTGTTGTCAATTGTCATCCGCCAGTTGTTTTTGTAAACTAGGAGACATGAGAAAACAATGTTAGTGCTTTTTAGGAAACTCAGGTTCCCCATAAACAACAGTTTCCATTACTGAAGATGACAACTTCCAAAACAGCACTTCTATACGCTTCAAGGAACCAGTAGGGATTTCAAAATAGGCAAAAGCATTTCAATTTCTTAAGCAAAACAGTTGTTTACACAGACAGTATGACTTACTTCAAAGAAGCCGATTTCAGCCTAGGAAAAATTCTGAAGTCCAAGAGACTTCATTTGCATAGGTGCGGGATCTGCCCCAGGGCACAAGAAGTCAAGTGTAATTTAAGGGGCTACAACAGTTTAACAAGGAATGACTACTGAGCATGACCCTCACCTTTCCAGGTACTCCTTGACATTGTTGTAACCGTAGAACTTGGCCAGGTGGATGAGCATGCCGGTGGCACAGCGCCCGTCCCGCCGGCGGCAGTAGCTGCAGTTGCACACCCCACGACAAGGAGGACAGATCCAGGCCTGCAAGGGCATGAATGTGGGACAGGGGGTAAAAGCAAGCTATGAGCAAGGTTATATTGGCCTTCCCGTTGCTCAGACAAACATAAGTATGGCTTCCCTACCATGTGACTGCTCAGGGCAAGGTTTTAAAAGCCTCTATCAGCCAGGCAGTCAACCTTGTTAACAATTTCCAAATTCTGCATGATTAAAGAAATCATTAAATGCTTTAATGCTTACTCTGAAGCCTCAGGTTCTCTAATGTGCTCAGTATTGATTTTCAGATAGACTGAAGTCATCTGTAATGCCTAATGATAATTCATTCTGTGCTAGGCTGACTGTAGTCAACTCCCTAGAAGAAGATGGGTACCCATTGTGACAAGTTTCTTTGGCTCTGCCTGCTGGTATAGCACGATTCCTGGAGTTGAATACCCAGCTCTTCAGAGTGATTAGTTTTCTGCTGACCTTCAGAACAGCCCAGAAGCTCATCTCTAAAACAGAGGTGGAGGAGAGGAGGTCTCAGAACAAGCCAAGCACTCTGTTCTGCCAAGAGGTTCTTTGTGTATCCACGTGCCTCATTCTCTGGCAGCAGCCTGTGCTCTCTCCTTGCTCAGTGTCTCAGGGGACAACAAAGAAAAGGGAATCAACCCTAAGACTTTTAGGGTCCTTCTCTTTTTTTCTCATATTTAAACAATGGAATCAAAAACAAGGAGCCTGCTTTCCATGCCACGTTACTGAGAGCATTAAAAAATGTGTCTGTTTTGGCATTTTTCTGAAAGTGGACGGATTCCATTTCTTAAAAGCTCTCACACTTGCCCTCCACCATCTGATAAGCAAGTGGAGCTTCAAAGCACAAAGATAGGTGGCTGGTAACCCAGGTCCAGCACTTTCCACTTGAGTTCTAAACAAAATCAGTGTCAGTCATAACAGTACTACAGATCTTCTCATGGCAAAGAAGTTTAAACACATCAGGTTACCATGAGTATATATTGTTCATTATACTTTTGTTCCAAGCCCAAAAAATGATACTTACTGGATCAAGCAGAGCTGATTTCACATCTTCACCGTATCGATTTCGAAGACACGGTCCACAAAACTGCCCTCTTACTCCTCCACAGCCCTGGTTGCGACAGATTGTCTTTGTATCTGTTGTCTTTTGTCGACACTGGTGGCAAGTGCTACCCTAAAAGGGGAAAGGAGGAGAAACATCCTAGGACATCTTAAATGCTCAATGACCAACTTTCCTAACAATAAGCACAAATTTCAAACCGAAGTCAAATTCAGCAACGAAAATCTTAGTAAGTTCTATTATTATGATAAATCATATAGCAATGGTAGGAATTTTACAGAGACAGCGTCCAGCTTCAGTTAGTTGCGTTGGAAGTCTCAAATTACATGAGCCTCATGTTGCAGTTCTGATCCTTTCTTCTAACTAAGAAAAAGCTAGAACTATTCAGAAAATGACCTTATGACTCATCTCTGCCAATACAATGAAATACATAGTAAGCTGATCTTTATGACAATCAATAGCCAAATCCAGTGAAAGAAAGGAAGGAGAAGTTCCATCAAGAACTTTGGAAACTACCCAACCTGTACAGAAATGTGATTTCCAGGGGGTACAAGGAACATCAAGGATCACTATTATTTAATGGTACAACCAACACAACATTTATATTGAGAATGAGAGATAAAAAGGATGCCAGCTCTTCTCAGTGGTGAGTCAGAGCTATAGCAAATTTTATTTAATAGCTCTGTGGCAAGAAAGCACTTCCCTCCAGAGGCAAAAAGCTGGTGGGGTGTATCAACCAGCACGGTCAAGCCTGACAAAGCTTTCAAGGTCATGCTTGCATAACATAATAATGATGAGCTGCACTCTCTCCAGAACCTCAGGAAAGCACACCTTTCAGCAAACTCCAGTGAACTACTGAGAGACTTTTAATTTCAAGCAGACAGACAAACTGAAGAATACAGCAGCCACTTACTAGAACTTTGTCATAGATTTTGTCTCTAACAGTGACTGCAATGTTGTCCAAGTCCTCTTCAGTAATATCTTCTACTGGACGATGAGACGAGTACTTTGATGATCTCCTTCTTTTGCGCACTCCACAATCCCCCTGCTAAACAAACTCATCTCAATACCTTTTGTCTGATGTCACGAAGACTCTGTCACCAAACTTGGTAACAAATTCTTTCATTTTTAATGTGTATGCAGTCCAGAGTGGGCAGACTACAGGCTCATGCACCACTGGAAGAACAGGTAATAGTTTCCAAATTATCACTGCCTCTTTCCCTCTCCTCCCTAACTTTTTCTCTACTACTTTTTTATTAATTCTGTCTCAGTGTTCTTCCTTTCCATCATTACTACTTCTACTTCCATACATCCCTGACATGACTTCTGCTAACTTTTTTTCTTTGCATTCCCTGCACTCCTCCACTGTAACCCTTCATACTCCATTTCTTCCCTCTCAAAATAAGAAACTATGATCATATGCCTTCCCGTGCTTTCCTCCTTCAATCTCCTTGCATACTCTCTGATTGCTTTCTCCAATGACAATGTCTAATGCCCTGCAAAAAACCCTCTACCGAAGTTTTAGGTTAGCCCTGCATACCCAGGCCTCCCTTTTCTTACTATTCTCTTTGTTATTTGGAAGAGAGTACTCCACTCACTATTAAGTGCTCTTTTTTCATTCCAAATATCCTTCCCTTTGACCCGTATTCATGGATAAATCTTATCTGATTCTTAGCCTTCCCCATACCTGTCTCTTAAGATCTCATTTGTCCTTCACTCTAAGATTGGCTCTGTTCTGTCCAAAACAGTCATTTGCCTGCTCAGGTTCTCATTCAGTGCTACTCCACTTTTTCTAATAGCCAAGTTCCCTCTATAATGCTTCAGCTATGCCCAGCACTCTTTCCTACAAGCAGAACTGGTATCCAGTCTGTGTGGATGCACACTTAAAGTGTCTTCCTTATAAGGGCTTGGAATTTTCAGATAATGAATAAATAACAGACTGTAAGTAAACTGCTTTGTTACGCTTGGACAACACAGGTCACAAGCAGAGCCCACTTAACAGGTGAAAGATGAGGCAGAAAGGCCTGGAGATAACTTTTTCTGTAGCTAATCCCAACCAAAGATTCTCAATAACTTTCTGTAAGATGTGATGTCTGGTCTAAGTGCTGGCCAACAATTTAAATGTTTCCTAATTCCTGACTACTGGAGATATCAAAGTCTGGCAAATACCACACTGAGTCTCTTCAAGAGGTTTTGTTGCCTATAGCTACGGATATGTTCTGCAAATTTGACAGCCGACACAGTAAATTTTTCCAAGGCAAATTTTTCTGGTGGACGGGCATTTCTGGTTGGGTTCATTCGACGTGCTATCTGGCCTTCAGAAAATGTCCTCCTTGGGGTTTTCTTCTGTTTCTAGAAGGGGAAGAAAATTCCAGTAACTGTCCTTTCAGTTATTCGTAGCATTAAACACCAGAAATGATCTGAAAATGTCTATACCACACTTGTAGTATCATAAATTAATCTGTTGTTCTCCCACTCCTTAATTGTTAAGCCAAACCTCACCAATTTCTAGCATTCTTAAGTATTCTCCCTACAGACTATAACCTTCTGCTCCTTTTAAAACACCACACCTTCAGGTCAAATTCTATTCCAATTAACATCATAGAACTACACCAAAAATTTAACATGTTGTCATATTAAGGTAGAAGCTAGTTCTTACTGTTCTTTGGTAGCTAAATGCTCAGATTTTCCCACAATCCGAATACACCTTTGAGGAACAATCCAAATTCTAGTTTATTTTCTTTTAAACTTTTTAAATTGAAAGGGCATTATTGAGCTGCTTCTCATGGTTCATGATTCCTAAAACTTGGAAATTCTTTAGAGGTGAAAGATATCCTCTTGATATTGTCACAGCTGGCAATTACTGCGTGACTGAATTCATGTACCATAAGTCCTGCCTGGGCACCTACCATAAGGCAGCTACTAAATCTGACAGTATAAAGAAGATGCAGAAAGCAAGTCTGCTTGCTACCATACACTTACATTTTCTTTCAAAGAAGTGAAAGACACATTACAAGGAGACAGGCTGGAAGTCAAAAATCAAGCAGATGAGGTAACTAGAATACTTCTTGTGCCCTCTCCTCTCCTCCATTAAAGGTACTAAATAAAAGTAGCAGGCTTATGTACGTATTTAAAGTATGTTTAAGTCTCTAAAACATTTAATTAAAGCTAGCAAGGTGATCCAGCCTTTCAAATTCTGTTTAACTTGGCTTCATCTTTTAATAACCACCATACCAGCATTTCTAAATGGGCTTTCCAAAGACATGGCTCTTCAGTTTTTCCTCACATCTCTTCTAATACATGTGGAAAAACACTAAAGAGAACTAGGAGGGATTGACAATCCTCTGCTTAAAGTCGAGAAAAGGCAGTTGAAACAACTACAGTCTCGTTCCAGTTTGTGTTGACATGTTTCAATTTCATGAACATTGCTCTACTGGGAAGTGTGGATTTTAGAAGAAAAGCCTGCAAGAGGGAAATGAACAGAACCTAAATCCAAAGGAAAGCAACTATTCTTCTCTGTTCCCACATACACAGACATATGTCTACCATCTCAATAGTATTTCTAGGGCAAAAAATATAAAGTAGCATCTCATCTCAGTTTTCTTATTTCTTCATAAATTAATTTATAAAATTCCATTTCCTCACATAATCTCTAGTACTTCCTGACCAATAGCAAATCTATACAAATAAAGTACCCAAACTTAAAGAAAACCAGAACAAACTTGGTCAAAGTTTCCGATTAAACACTTTAATCCTAAGTCTAACAAAAACGATTGTCACCACTAGTCAGTACCGAAAACTTACCGAAGGAGTTGAGGTGGGCGTTTTCACTGGGAACAGGTCTGGTATGGAATTCAATTCTGCCAGCAGCTGAGCAAGCTGAAATCAAGTGATGTCACATTAAAAGCTCTCTGCAACTTGCAAACAAGCAACACCTACTATCCACTCTTCACATGCACTTCAAATTGTATCTAAACATATGAACTTTCAGTGCATGAAACTTTCTGGAGGCACTTTATTTAAACGGAGCTCACAAAAGGGGTTCATTTACTCCTGAATGAGCAAAACTCTGCAATCTAGCAGTGCTAACTTCATAGCTCCCAGTAATTGTTACTAGGAACTAGAATTAGACAGAATTACATAAAATCTTGTCGAAACAGCACTAAGGGAGCACAATACAACATGGTTATGACACCCATGACCAATAACAAGAAATTCAGTTCATATGACAGGAGAGAGGGAAGAAAGAAAGACAGGGTGCCCTTGGCAGAGGACAGTAAGATGTTCCCTGTAGACTGTTTTACTGAATGACTGCTGAAAGACCTGTGCTTTTTGTCAGAGAACTCAGTGTCCCCTTAAGCAGTGCAGATACAACCAGAGACATGGGTACACTGAGCCCCACTGGCAGTTCCTGTAACCACAGCACATGCAGCATCAGAAGCACTTCAGCAGGATGATCTTTTGCACTATGTAGATGTCCTGGAGGTACATTACCACAGCAGTGCAAAAATTACATTTATGATCCTTAGCAGTTTCTACCTGGCTTTCCAATCAATAACTGCAGCAGATCTGTCGTGCACTAACAAAAAGCAGAAAATCTATTGTGCAAATGACACCATGAAACACCTGAAGGGATCAGCTGTTTTTCTGACATGTTCTAAATGTAAGGCCACAAAACTTGGGCATCTGTAACTTTGTTCACATCCTCATTAAAAATGCTTGGTTCAACTCTGGTTTTAAACTTGACCAGCCTAGTCCTACTTGAGGCTATTTTAGAAGTAAATGTCTGAGTGCTGAAAGACCTGTAGGGTTTTCCCAGGTAGAAAAATTCACCGTAAGATTTTCCCAGCATAGCACCAACAGGGACCCCAAAAATCAAATATGCTGAAGCTAAGTAATTGCATGTAAACGTCAGAGAACAAAACAGCACTCGTAAGTCTTACCATGGCTTTATTTTCTTTTATATTTATGGCTCTCTTAATCATTGCACTGGAAGTTTCCTCCTGTGTTTCTTTAATGTCTTCTTCAGACTCTGAAGTGGAGCCCTCTAGTTTGTCTGACCACTTGCAGTTTATTTCTCTTGAAAGAGGTGTGAGGGATTCACTGTCCTTTACAGGTAAGTCAGACAAAGACTGTTCAGGCACTTTCTTCTCAGATGACTTTCTGGTGGGAAACTGCAAAGCAACACGAAGGCCAAAGCTTCTTCTCTTGGGGGAAACTTCCTCCTTTTCTTCCTCATTACCCAATAAATTAGGGCATTCTTCATCACTCAGGTCTGACTCCACCGTCTAGAGGCAGGAAGAATCCCATGTTACATTACTGGCTGTGACACAATAAAAGTAATTTTTAAATCACTAGTTCTAGACAGCAGTCTCAGCACCCAAAGACAGCATCATAAATTCACCTAAATCAACAAATTTTTAAAAGTTCATGGTACACGACTTCTTCCTGTGCAGAGATCAATACAAAATCTACCTATTAATATAGTCTGGGATACAGACATGGCTGTCTCCAGAGGAAGAATCTTGCCTAGCACAGTCAGTCTGCAAGCAGGGGAAGAAGTTCTCATTTCTAATATGTGATGCTACATTAAATAAATCTCTTTTAAGGTAACACATTTAAATTCAGGATGAAGAAAGAACATCACAGTGTTATCAGAAAAATTCCTACTAGAACAGGAGGTTTACACAGAAGAGACAGGAACAAAGAAGTCAACATATACATTGACGTGTAGGTGTGACTGCCTTTACCAGAACTTCTTTCTTGTTCACATGCACCTCATTTGAAGCAAAGCCTTCAAATGCTTCTGTTTCAGAGTCTGTGTCTTCAGTGAAAATCCTCCGCAGTTCTTCAGTGAGGTATCTGGACTGAAATCGGCCTCCCTGCAAAAATAGCAGCCAGTAGCTGTGAGAGACAGATACAGAGTAGTCACACAGCCACAGTAAACCAGTTTTGAGGTTCAAGCCGGTATCAATTCAGTGGCATAAACTGTGAAAGCACTTAGCAGGCAGAGCCTGTCAAAACTAAAAAAGAAAGACAACATTCAGTTTCAGCATTGAGTTATTTTAACCCAGAAAGATTTTTTTTCCCCTCATTTTGAGCCCAGGGCTTTAACTGAGCTGTTTCTTGTGGGGGAAACTTTCTTCTTCGTCTCTTCCTCCCCTTCTTCATTACTACCCAAAAAAACATAAACTATCAGTTGTCTTAGGAGTAAATTATCATGTTGTTTTGCATGTTTTCTTCTGCATGTAAAAAACCCGGCCTTGAATAAAAGAAGATACAAACCACAATTACAGAAAGAAAGAGCCCTCCTTTTTTGACATTGCAGTAAAACAACTACCTCCTCTAGGCTTGCTGCAGCAGTACAGGCTCCTGGAGATGGGAGTCTGCTCCTCCTCACACTGTTACACCGTCACTGAACTGCCAGATACCAACACAAATCCACAGAGCTTCAAACAACCTGACTAACATCCCTCCACCTTTCAATTGCTCAACTCTCTTTTTGGTGCACTTTATTATTCACACATGTTCTAGGGCAGACAGATCCTAAATTTCTGCCTACAGACCAGGAAGTAAAAAGATCTTATGAAAACATTCTTCACGATATGCACATTACATACCAGTTAAACACAACACTTTTACTAAATCAGAAATGTATTTCCATACTTCCAGTCAGAACTAGTAGAAGACCATCTTGTCAACTTCTCTGTTAGTCTCCCAAAAGATTTGTTCACATGTTCACACCACACCTGCCCCTTGAAAGTCAGAAACATGTAAGTTTGTTTCCCCAATTTTCCTCTGCTATTTCTTCCTCCCACATGAAAAACAAAAATTACCTTTAATACAATGCACTTGATAAATATCTTTATTCTTCCTTTCAATTCCCTCCCTTCCCAGACTTTAATTACACACTTCTTTACATTAATATCTGGTGAAAAACTTAGAGGGGGCTGGGCGGGGGGGCAGGGGGGTGCTACTGCATATGTTCTTTCTTTACACTTAAAACATCTACAAATTATTATGGATAATTGGAATGAGTTTTCTCTGAGCAAAATTACTTCATTCTTTTGATGTTGATAGCTGCAGTGCAGCTGCTTGAGAAAGGAACAAACACAATAGGGAAGTTACTTAAAAGTTGAATTACATTTCTTGAAGGGAAACTGATGTTTTTATGCATTCTATGTTTTCATGAAATTCCACAATGAAGTTCTGAGGGGAGGAATATGCTGTTTGTTAGCTAAAGTAACTAAAAATAACACATGTAGAGCTATGCTGTTGCATCTATGAAGAACTGTCTATACAAGGTAAAATACATATCAGGGATACCTATAGAAGAAATGGTGGAAGCTCAGCAGAAATGCAGAGATTATGGGAGCAGGACTTCAGAAAGCTCTGAGGAAAAGCAGGCACACAGAGGTCATTACTTGTTAACTCATTTATGCATCAGATCCAAGAGAACAACTGATGCACTGACATTCCATTCATCACCTCAGCAGAGCAGCTACCTTGCCTCCTCTCACAATAATGGCAGAATTTTTCTGAACATCCCATCATTTTGCCCCTCACGCCAAAACCTTTTCGTTTCCTGCACAGGTACCTATAGTCTTTTGCAGCAACAGTGGTGTTTAGCATCATAAACTCCAGATGATGCTCATCCTGATGAAGGGCCCTGATGCACAAGGACTGCAGATTATGTTACAATTGGATGGAACTCAGGATATTTTTATTATAGCATTTAGAGGTAAAGGAGTTAAATTCAACACTGATGGACATTTAAAGTAATTCTCAGCCCAAGGGAAACACAGGCATGGTGAAGAAGGAGGTTGCAGTGCCAGCTGGAAATTTGGAACAAGTCTCAGTGGGATTCTCAGTAACACACGTTAAAGCAGCAGTAGCATTTTTCATCAGAGGATTTTAAAAAGCTTTTTCAGCAAAGACCGTTATCATAATCTTCATTTCACAAGTTGGGAAACCAAAGGAGAGAGAAGTAAAGTAAGCTGTCTGCAGTCCCCAAGCAGGCAGCAGAAGCTCAGGTTCCCACACAAGGCTTCCTCTCCACCACCACCTCTCCCCAGTGATCCTTTCTGATGCTCCACACAAAGCCACAAATACAAGAGTAAGCTACCTCCCAGTTTTATGAAGTTATCAGTACTGCTGTCTAGCAACAAGATTACAAACCAATTTAGACCCAGTATATTTCACTACATTTTAGCCATCATCTTTCTCCATACACAAAGACACTGGCTCTACCCCCAAAAGGTTTCTGCACTCATTTGTCTATAAAGGTCCAGAAACAGCACATACTCCTACAAGCCTTGTTCTGTCTGTTTCATTTGCTAACACTAATCATCTTCCTTGCCATCAGCACCTCTTAACCAAGTACTGACCTGATGGACTAGGAAAAGAAAAGGCATTTTTAATTTTCTTATTAATCAAACAGAGGAACCTTTTTGAGAGTACAAACGACAAAGGTATCTTGTAATACATTAATCCCATGTCTATCAAATATAGGTTCCTAAAAGCCTAAAAACTAAATTTTTGTGCAGCCAAGACAGCATACCAGTTGTATTCCTTTCTTGTGAATTCAGCTGCTACCTCCAGCTACAAAATCAGAGAAGGAAAAATATCAAATCATTGTACTGATCCAAGTTCCTTCATCATCAATAGAGCAGAGAACCAGCAAATCACACTATCACAGCAGAAGCTGATGGTTTCTGTGGGTCACCACTATTAAAACATGATTTAGTACAGAAACAGCACTGAGATAAATTTCTGGAAGAAATACCTTGAAGTCTGCATACTCACAAATGGCCATCCAGTATCATGCATTTCCACTGCCTTAGGTATCCAGAGCACACCAGCCCACAACGGTAATTCTATCTTTCCAATTTCACTTAAACTCACCTTCTAATGAAACCCATTTTCTTTTTCATATTATTATGTTTTCAAAAACCATCATTAAATCCTAAAAGGATAGCAAGTTTGTTTACATTTATTTTTAATATGAGAACTCCAACTTATGAGTTGTTGTGTGAGTTAGGCTTCACACAGCTTTGACACAGGCTCAGAGTACTACTGCACCCAAAGGCCATAACTGGACCATGGCAATCCATTCCTACCTTTTTTCCAGACTCCAGGGAATCAAAACTAGCATAGCTGTTCTCTGACAACAAGTTCTGTCTGGAAGCATCATCTTGGAACCCTGGAAAATCTTCATTGCCGCTGGGGGCATTAAAAATGTTGGCCACATCCTTGGGTATCTGTTTCTGATTCAAAACAAGACAGAAGATAAGAGTCAGATGTGCCAGCTTAACAGGAAGACTCAAACTGGCAACAGTACAACTTATTTTTGTACTCCCGTGCAAGTACAAATCTGTATCACAAAATATGCTATGTGTAAATTGTACCTCATTTAGCCAAACTCCAGGAAAATTCTGTATAGACTGTTTTAATCCGTAAATAGAAACTCAAGATCTGGGGCGAGAAAGGGGATGCGATAGGTAGGGTGTTTAACTCCATGGGAAAGTACTTCTCAGACATAAAAATACATGGTGAGAGGACAGTTCCTCATCTAAAGGAGTTTTTCTCCAGCCCTGAATGTTCAACAGAACATCACTGAGATGAAGTTCAAAATCAAGAGCAGTCTGCCCTTTTCCGCTGTCACAGACAACGAAGGTTGCTCATAGAGGCCCCCATATAATCATTACTTTTTATTATTCTTTTATCTTTTTTAAAATTTAGTTGTGCCAAAGTGAAGGACCCAAAGGAGGCTCATTCTCCAAAAATAATGTTGCTGAAATAAGTTCCACCTCCATTACAAGAACAAGCAGTAACTTGACCAAAGTATCACTCTCTGAAATAAGCTACAGTAACGTGGGAACATGGGCCCAGTTTTATTCTGCTGAAGTCATGCTGTCCATACTTGAACCCCTTTGGATACTTCCTCACCCCCACCTCCTACAGCCAACAGCCAGAATCCGCTGCTGTGATGGAATTCACTCAGAACAGAGAAGTGTTAAAAATGAAGCATTATGCATTTTAATGGAAAAACATACTAGGAGCTATGCGCCTCGCTGCTATGAATAAATTGCTTCCAGGAGCCACTGCATTAGTTCTTGTGCTAATGTACAGCTGAGTTAGCCACTGCTGTGATTACTGTATGCCTAATTTCTTCTTCTTCATCTATTGCTTCTGCATCTGCACCAGAGGAGTCATTATGGGGGTGTAATTACTGATTTTGATCCAAAAAAACCATAAACTCTTTCCCTGTAGAAGACTTTTTTTTAAATCTTTTATGCATTCCCAAGTACTAAGGTACTAGTATTGATTTAAGTAACTTACTGCAGAACTTCAAAGTTTTAGTTTGTGACTTGCTCCCCATAGCCTGCCTACGAAGAATCTCATTCAGTTATTGATGAGTCCCCATTTTACCAAAAGAGCTTAAGGTAATAATAGACAAACCTGATGCATACAAGGTGGGTGCACTTCAGAAGTCTAAAAAGAGCATCCTCACCATGAAGCTTGCTTATCAACACTATTTCCACAGCTGAAATTCTGCGTTTCTACACCCAAAATCACAAGTCAAGTTTATTCCCAGCAGAAGTCCACTGCCATCAGCAGACTGACATCAAAGACAAGCATGCACCAAACAGCTCTGCCATGATGGGTTTGTTTGCTGTCATTTATTGTGTAGTCCTGGAAGCCACTGGTATTTTCATTTTTAACTTTCAGTACACAAATAACTTTTCAACTACATTCTGAAACTGATTTTCAATCAGCATCAGAGCCTAGCATTTTAACTTTGTCAACAAATTAGTATATACAAAGAAAGTAAATACATATATGCCTAAACACAAATGTCAAAATATTTATCTATTCTAAACACCTGGATGACACAGAACATTTTTGCCATTAAATCCCTTAAAAAGGCAAGAAGGCAAAGAGGTGATGAACGTTCCAAGTTTGCTCAGGGAAAATATTTCAACATGAACAGACCACACGTTCAGATACAACGGTCTGCTGCAATGTTGCAGATGTGAGAAGTAATGTCTTTTAAAGATACACGCTACAACGGATAAATACCAACAGTCTAGCAAAAGCTGGAAATAATTCACAGCTGCTGAAAAAGTCAGTTTTATTTCTAATAGGAGATTTCATACCTACTGAACTCATTTATTTTTGCACATAAAACACAGTTAATTGTTTAAAACTCCCGAAAGGTACTTTTCAAAAACAAACCTTCCCAGCTACAAACAGCACACAATCCAAAAACTGCCAGAATAATCAATCCTATGTTTTTTCAGCAGAAGTCCAAAGTTCAAGACATCCCCATCTCTCAGTTCTCCCTTCTCCAAATTTGACAAAATACCACCAGTACATCCAGGAGCACACTCAGATGTCTCGGACTGCGCGGAGTTACCATTCCCACAGAACCATGAGTAGGCAGTTCATGTGTGCCTGCGGAGGTTGGCAGGGCTGTCACCAAGGGCCAAGGCTGACAGAGACAGAAAATGAGGCCAGGAGGGTTGTCAGATCTGTTTCAATCACGAGTGATTGGAAAAGGAAGGCACCTGAGGTCCCCAGCTGTCACAAGAACATTTTTCCAAGCACTATTCCCATGAATTCCGCCTGTCTTGTTAGGCAAGGAAAAAAAGACAAGCCTGAGGTGAGCTGTTTTACTTTCCACATCAACAGGAAGAATTCTCATGTTTCAAGTGAAAAAGCAACTTTCCTGATACCAAAGCCAGAAAACATGCAACTTGCCCTTCTGTAGGCTGCAAGGAGAGAACACTTGCCTGCATGCACATTCACAGATTTTGTGGGAAGCATCAGCTATTTCTATGCCATTGACTAACATATTTGAGTTTTTTAAGAATTATTTGTATGCAACACTTTCCTTGTCGATTGTGACACTAACACATTCTTCTCTAACAGTGATGTATCAGAAGAACATACAGTACGAGAAAGCAGGGCTAGATGTAATTCTCTTATTTTTGCTCCTACCACGAAAAAAAAACCCATCAGTTGGGCTGTGTTCCCTTATTCAAGTTTGCACAATGTATTCCTATTCAAAGCAGAGGACAGACAATTTCAACCATGTTCAAATTTAGTCAAACTGAAATAATTCCAGTCTAACCCCAAACAGATGCTCACACAAACCAAATCTGTGCGAAGTCACACCTTCAACATGCATTGGAAAGCCTCTTAAGTTGTCCCAGGTTCAGCACAGAGGCAAGCTCAAGGCATGCCACCTAAGGGTTACAGGCACTGCATTTGGCTCATACCCCAAAATAACAACCGAACAGGGAAGCATTCCAAGGTTGACAATTCTAAGCAGCACTACAAGAATAGAGGGCCCCAGCCAAAATGTCAATAGGTGCCAAACCAGTAAACCAAAACTGAAGTCAAGATCCTGGTTTTTCCACTGAAATCATAAAGGCGAACAGCATTGCAAAAGTTTAATTTTAGGCATCATACAAATGTGTGAAAGATGTGGAAGGCAAAGAGTCCCTTACTACAGCACAAAAGAATCACACAACTGGATGCACAGTCAACAGGACTGTCAACACCATAACCAGCCTGAGACTCAAGGGCAACAATGAAATTTAGGAAGGCAAGGAAGATCCTAGATGATCTTCACAATTTCTCAACAGCATTAGACCACAAACCCCTGAAACTTTCTGGATAGTGAAATATATTCCTGGCACAAGTGGCAGGAGGTTGAAAGGCAAGCGAGTGTTCAGAAAAAAAAAGGAACAAGTGACAGAATGAGCAGTCATCACCCACTTTTATGATCTTTGCAGACATAATGTGATTCCAGTGAAGGTGAAGATGGATTATGCCTGAGCCTGTAAATCTGTCACAGCAGTAACTCCTGGGATTTCCATGGTGCCCCCGAAAAAGTTCTGGCAATTTCACCTCAGACAACCTACTGCTAAATCCAAGTAAATTCTGCTATAGTCAGAACAGTGGCATAGAGTTTCTATGTTGCCTTATTTAAACTGATAAGCTAATGCCTATCAAGCTACTTTATCCTAAAGTAAGGAACTTCCAACTATCATAATCATATGGTGAGCCATTTAAAATGCCACCGTCCATAGGCAATACCTGCCTAAAAACTATTTCCTACTTTTCAAAAACGCTGATAATACTGTGAATATCAGCATGCTGTCATATGAACACAGTTCAAACACTGTCAACTGCTACTGTTCCTTTGTACTATCTAATCTCTCATCGATTCAAACAGTTGTAACAGCTATTTCTGAATTAATTTTGCATAATTCAAGAGCATCCTTTTCATCTATGGTGATGCCTAATTACTTTCCAAGCCCTGGCGTTCCAAGGAAAACGCTTTTGTACAGTACCACAGGCATACTACACATCCCTGCTCTGTGTCTCAATTATTGGTGTCCAGTCTTTTTGGGTGCAAGTGCTTTGTCAGCCAGCCTCCCTTTAACAAGTTCTGTGTACTGAAACTGCTGTGCAAGGACTTGGTAAATTAGGCTCTGGGACGGAAATGGAACTGCAGGTATTGTGATTCAAAACAACTTTGTACTGTTGACTTCTTTAGCAATTGTTTTCAATGGGGGCACATACAAGTTAACGTGCCTGTCAGCAGACAGTATGTGACTTCAGAGGCAAGGAAACCTTTGCCACCATATCCTTCTGGCCCAGGCAGAGCTGAACTCACTGCTCACCATTGTATCACAAAGACGAGGCAGAGCCAGCACAAGGCTGCACTCAGACAAGAATGAACTCCCATGAGAAACAGGAAAGCACCAAAAACAGACCGGGTCTTTTGCTAAGCCTTAAAAGAAACATGTGCAGCCTTTTAGCTCTGCACTGGAAAGGTGACTAGCAGATGGTAAGAACCTCTTGTTCCAGCACCCGAGGTGAGAAGTGAAGTGCTATTTGCTTCTATTGTCAACCAGGTTTTTCCCAAACTGTTTTATAGCCTCTTATCTTCACATTGACAATGAGGGGCCTGAGGTCATACACAGGTAGAAGGTTTACAAAGTCTTTGACAGGGCAGAGGTCCTATGTTCCGAGGGTCTCTAGTACACTCTTGTCCCACAGAAACCCATATAAAGCCCTAACTTTCCATCATCAAGAGCTGAGATTCTGACTTTCCCCTCACTCCTTCCCACCACCTGGGAAGCTCACCATGACTGAAGGGAAGTCAATTTAGAGTACATATAAGGAGAACAGTAAAACACTGGAACAGGTTGTCTAGAGAGCTGGTGGATGCCCCATCCCTGGAAACATTCAAAGTCAGGTTGGATAGAGGTCTGAGCAAGCTGATCTAGTTGCTCAGAGCAACTCATTCGACGGCGGGGGGCTGATTAGATGAGGTCCCTCCCAACCCAAACTATTCTGTGAATCCACAGCTACGCCTCCTCCTAAGATGTGAAGCGCACACCAGCCTGGCGCACCCAAGAAGGCGCCAGGCTCGGACCAGACCGCAGCCAGCGGAACCACGCCTGTGTTTGTCCCGAACCCTCCAGCCTCACCAATACTTACATGCGTGTTTGCGGTGGCATCGCGGTGTTTCAACACCAACAACAAAAAAGCGGCCAGAATTAAAAATAAATATACTAATTAGCTATTTCTAAAGTGGCATCCCCAGGCTCACAGAGACTAACTAACTAACAGAGCTCCTCCACATCAGCCTTTATTAGAGCCGCCGCAGATCCCAGCACCGCTGCAGCTGCCCCACGCCGGTGCTGAGCCCCTCGGGCGGTTTCCACCCTCTTCCCGGCCTTTTACAAGCCCGGAGCCGTCGCGCCACGTGGAGGGCGCCCAGCGGGACCGCGGCTGCCGCGCCGGTCGGGACCGCGAGCACCGGGCGGGGGCGGCGCGGGGGGCCGGGGGCGCTGCCCCGCCGATGCCCGCCCCCCGTCCGGGTGCTGAGGGGCAGCGCCTCCGACCCCCCGCGCCGCGGTCAGCGGACAAAGGCCGCCGCTGTCCCGGGAAGGCGGAAAGCTGCCGGGCCGGCTCCCTTCCCCGCCGCCCGACCCTGCTGCCCCGCTCCGCGCAGCCCGCGGGCCGCCTCACCGTGCCGCGGGTCCGCGCTGCCGCCGCCCCCCGCCGCCGCCGCCGGCCCCTCCGCGCCATGGCCGCCCGCGCTGCCGCGGGAGGAGGAAGGGGACGGAGGAGGGAGGAGGAGCGGGGGGCGGTGGCGGGGTGGAGCCGCCCGGCGGCGGCGGGAAAGGCGGGATGGGGACGGGGCACCTTGTGTAGCCTGACTGGGGATGGGGAAGTGCCGTCTGGATGCTGCTGCGGAGCCCTTGGTGGTGCAGGCGCTCCCCCCGCGGCACCCGGCATCGTCCGTTCTTTCATACACACGCGTCGCAGTTAGTCTGAAAGGAGCGGTCTTTGCCTTGGGGGAATAAATAGGCTTTCATCCTCCAAATAATTTAAACTGTTAATTTAGTACAAGCGAGAAGTGTAAGCCTCTTGAAAACCTCTAAAAAGAGGAAGAATGCAAATGATGTAGCTTTAGAATCGTGAGGGTTGGAAAAGACCTCTAATATTATCAAATCCAACCATTAACCCAGCACACATGATCACCAACCCATGGCCCCAAGTGCCACATCCACGCTATTTTTGAACACTTTTGGGGATGTGATTCCACCACTTCCCTGGGCAGTCTGTTCCAAAGCCTGATCCCTCTCTAAGGGAAGAAATTTTTCCTAATATGCAATCTAAACCTCCCTGGCAGAATCTGAGGCCATTTCGCCTTCTCCTATGGCTTGTTCCTTGTGAGAAGAGACCGACCCCCACCCTGCTACAACCTCCTTTTGGGTAGCTTCAGAGAGCAATCAGGTCTCCCCTGAGCCTCCTTTTCTCCTGTCTAAACAAGCCCAGTTCTCTCAGCCGGTCCTCATCAGGCTTGTGCTCCAGACCCTTCCAGAAATAGGAGAGCAATTCAAGACAGGATAAGGTCTGAGGGTTTGTTTCACACCCAGGTTTCTGTCTAGCAGCAGATGGGTGATCTTCCACAAGCCCTCTAGTCTGGATAGTTGGACCAGAACAGCAAGAAATTCACTTGCTTACGTAACCTGGCTGAAATAAACTCCTGATAACTACCTTTATTGTTTTTAATTGATAAAATCAAATCAGAGGAACCAACTGTGCTACTCTGTAGCTTGCCTTCAAACTCGATTGTGAATTACTCATGCTAATAATAAATTCAGATTGTTTTGACTATTTAAATACCTTCTGGATGACATAGAATTAAAAGTTATATATATGTGTTCATTTAGGGGAGCGCTTCAAAATGTGCTGTGCAGTCTGCCTACTACAATGAGTTCCCAGGTCTGACTAGGTCTTTTAAATACTCTGCTGTAATTATTGACTTACAACAAAAGAGAAAAGGAACATTTTTGTTGGAAAGTGAAGGGCAGATGAGAAAATGTTGTCTTTTGCCATTCTCTGAATAGCCACCCTTAAAAGCGGAAGAGCCTCTCTGTGTACCATGGTATCTGATCCTCAGTGTAACACATTGTGGACTTCCCATTTAAGTACTTCCAAGCCTTTATATTCCAATCATATGGAGAGTATTTGTTAAGAGAGAATGCGAGGAGAGTTGTTACATGCAAACAAAGAACCCTTTAGCCAAAGCAGGCCATTTAAATACTGGTTTGCATTGCAATATCCACTATAGAAGCACCTGCAGTTGTCACTCAGGCTGAGGAAATAAGAAGCTTTGAGCATGAGGTGGGGAGGAGGGAATTCAGTAGAAGACAAAATGCAGGAATTATGTATAATATCAGCAAAATTGAAATGTGGATTTCTTAAAATACAAAAGAATAAAGATCTCTTGTGCGATACATTCCTGAAAGACTTGCATTTTATGTATTCCACTGCTGACCCTGGGTTTGGTTCTTTCGCTTGTCCCTAACAGTCTACATTATCAAGCACTTCGTTTGTTAAAAGCTGTCAAGAAGCTATCTTGGATTGCGAACAACAGATTTGAAATGACTGTGTTGACTGTCCTGTGCTAAATTAGACTGAATAAAATTGCATTCTCTCACAATAGAGATGTGCAGCTATTATGCTGTTACAGATACATTATGAGCTGCCTGATATCTTCAGCTATTTTATGCAATTTGTTGCTTTGTTTCTCTTTTTTTCTATTAAATTTACACTTCATTTTATACTTTCACAATCATTCTCCTTCTCAGCATTCCCAAGCCCTTCTTGTCAGTTGTTGCTCTTTATGTTGCTCTATTAGAAGTGTGGGTTTGGATTTTTTTAAATTTTGTTACTTTAATTTTTCTGCAGCTGTATCGCAAACACGTCAGTGTGGACTTTCCATCACTGAATTCCTGGCCATTTTCTTTACCTCTTTTCATATTACTTCAAAGTTCATTTTTCTACTGCCTACAAGTTTTTGTGTTATTGCCTTGTCAGTAGGATCTCATCAGCTGCTCAGATGAGGTTCAGCTGAATTCTGGGTACTCTTTAACTTCAGCCTTACATATTAAGCCTGAATTATTTTGCAATTACTGGGTCCAGAATAGTTTCTGACCTTGCTCATCATCTCATGAGAGCATTGCTGATAATGCCTTAATCCAAGTTTTCAAACTCATAAACTGTACAATGAAATTCATAACAATGAGTTCTGTCTTGGGCTAAGTATGATTATTATAATAAGACTATAACTTTCCAAACAGATCAAATGTGTACTGAAGGAATTATGAGCTGCTCAGAATATGTATCAGGTATAGCAGATCCATCAGTTTATGGGATACTCAGTAACACACCACTAACATCCTGATGCACAGTAAAATTACAGGACAGAACCACCATCTCTGAAGTGACCTTGTAAACAGAAAATTTGTTTACCATGAGTTTCAAATGAACAGATACCATTCTAGGTTATAATTTTGAACTTTACTGCTGTGAATTTACCAAGCTCAATAAACATTAAAATTAATCCTTGCTCCTGAACTCTGTTTTCACTGCCCCCTCTAACAGTCTCTAATTTGGGGGCCATTGTAATCACAACTGGGGGCTTTGCTCCCATCTTCCTGCCACCACGCTTCTCTGAGACCTGTCAAGCATTTTAAGTAGCATGCACTTTCCCACACTTCTCAATGAATGCTGACATACCTAACTTAAAAGGATTACTTTCTGCTGAGAGGAATTGTAATCTTCTTTTCCTGGTCTGCAAATCCTCTAGTAAGCGAAAAAGAAAGGCTAAGATCTGTTCTGCTGTGCAGGGCAAATCACCATCTCAGAAGGTATAGAAGAAAACAACAAATCCAAGATTTACTTGTGGTCACGCTTGTCCAGGAGCTGTGTCCCTGACTATTAACTCATTGACATCCTCCATCATTATTTTTGGTGCTTTGATATTTTCTGTTTTAGTTTATAAAAGCTATATGAATACACACACAATTGCTACTGTGAATGGTGCTCAGGACAAAACACTTCTCTCAAAGATATCTAAAAGGAGCTACAGATACAGAAATGCCTTAACTTGACCCCAGATTTTAATAGTATGTATTCTGTTAGCAAAACCAAGAAACATACTTTTAGCATATATACAAAACCTAGCAGTTTTTCAAACTGTCTAAGGTCAATTTGCAGTATTTTCAAAAACTGTTGCCAAAGATATTGGTGGTAGTGGTGAAGGTTTGTGCTCCAAGGATGGGTTGTGGGTGGTATCTGACACAACAACAAAATCACAAATGTTCCTGCTACGTTGATTTCCACCCACTCATCTCAAAACCTCTCCTCACACGTGGTGGTTGTTGCAACAAGTTGGCTTGTGGGTGAGGTTGAGGGCAAAGATTGGGTGATCTTACGCTACCAACTGAAAATGAAGCCGCAGGTTATGCTTTTGCAATAGTAATCTGAAAGCTAAGAGAGCCTCTCTCATCATTCTCTTAAAAGAGTTGCAAGACGTGGAGTAGTTTGCCAATAAAGCTTTCATAGGTGAAAATTAAATTTTCTTGTTTCATATTTTGTTATGGTTATAAACCAATATTATGTTTACAGTCATTCATAAAGTAGATGAACCAGATTCAATGTCCCCTCCCCTTTCCATTCAGTTATTAGACAGCAAGCTGTACTCACAAGGTGAATGAACACCAGCTTCAGGCTTCCTCACAGGGAGTGTTTTCCTTTCAGGTACTACGCCGCTGCAGCAAAAAATCCAGACTCCAAATTTATGAGAAGATCTTTTACATGCTTTACTTGATCTAATCCTGCAAATCTAAGATCAAGGTGAACAGACATGTCCATTGCTAATGCATTGTAAAATTCCTTGTTGATGTTTGGAAGTGTCTGCCATGTGTTTTTGTTAAATCTTAGCTGTATTTCAGCCCACTCTGATGGATGACTACTTCCAAACTGCCCATGAGGCGACTGTGTTAGCTGTAACTGATTCCTCCTTGGGTAAATTCTGCAGCATCAGCAGAGTTGGAACATTTAGGCTGAAGATGGGAAATGCCCTTCTCTCCTATACCTTTCCAGCCATTCATCTGGGACAAATGAGTCTTACTGTTTCAGAGAAACAAGCTTTGGATTTTCCTTTCAGTGGAAGTGGAGGGTTTTTTTGTATCCTGTGAGCTAGGATTATCTGACCTTTCTCCTCTTGCTTTGCGTGGTTTAGAAAAAGGCTAGGAACATGTAACAAAGCTCCATTTAATCCACATTCTCCAGTCATTCACTTCCCAATTCTTTCTCCTGTGTCATCCTTTTAATTTCTTTATGACGCTGATTTGTCAGTTCTGTAAATCCTTCTGAAGATCACTGTCGCTAGCAAACTCCAGACTCACCAAAGTTTGCCTAGCATAAATTTCCTCAAATAATTGTCCAATTGCCATTCCATTTTGACATCTGAAGCTGAGAGAGCAATCTGCTCTGACTTCTCATCCCCAACAAAGTCTTTGCATCAAAGCTCTTCTCTTGTATGAAATGTCATCCTTCATGACTTCTTGGGGTGCTTCAGGCTTGCTATTTTCATTGCTTTTGCAAAGTTCAGTTTCAGTTTCCATTTCAAATGCGTTAGTCAGTATTTAATTTTTGCAAGTATTTCTACCACCTTACATAAGAATTTCTTCAACTCGATTACATGCTGACTCAATGGGTTTTTCTCTTGG